GAAATATACATAACCAGTCCGGTGGTTAACCAGTAGAATGCACACTAAGAAGTTGTGGAAACGCCTCCATCAACAACTACAGATAATTTGAAAGATAAAGTTTAACTGAAAAAATAGAACAAATACAAGGAACAGTGTAAATAAGCTGGGTACCGAGATCCCCCCCCCCATAGTCACTGTTAGAGAAGCACTCTTAGGTGAGCACCTGGCCATCTTCCCTCCCACCGTTCCTGCTCCCTTCCCCAACCCTTCCTGCTCCCCTCCCCCAACCGTTCCTGCTCCTTCCCACCAGCCCGAGAGGCTGAGGGTGAGGAGCAGCAGCAGCTCGTCACCTACACTGGACCACCTTCACCTTCAAGGTGCGCCCCGTTGTAAGGGTCTGCAGTGTAGTAGGAGCAGCCCCCCCCAACCCCCCCCTCTCCACCCCCCCCCCCCCACGGACCCATCACGCCCAGTTTTTGCCTCTTAACACCACATCAGTTTAGATTTATGCTTCGTGACTTCACCAGGAGTCAATTATTTTAGGTTCGTATAAACACATTTCTGCAACAGAGTCTAAGCAAAACCTGTATGATTTTTGTTTTCTCTCACCACAGTGATCCGGAATGACTTAGTGGGTTGATAATCAACTTTGGTAACGTCAACTGATGGCCACATTCATTTGTTTTTATGTTTTCGTTCAGAAACCTGGAGGAAAAGTGACAGGATTGTATATTGTTTAACTCTTGGTACTCATTCATTCTACTGAAATGGGAAATCTTGTAGTTAAAATATAATTAAAATGAATAGAACTATCTGGAGATCAGTTGACGTTGTAGACCTGGTCGCCGAGACGGCTTCTGCTACTAGCATAGCCTGCTGCTGCCCCTCTGCTAGCATTGCCTGCTGCAGCCCCTCTGCTAGCATGCCCTGCTGCTGCCCCTCTACTAGCATACCCTGCTGCTGCCCCTCTGCTAGCATACCCTGCTGCTGCCCCTCTGCTAGCATACCCTGCTGCTGCCCCTCTGCTAGCATACCCTGCTGCTGCCCCTCTGCTAGCATACCCTGCTGCTGCCCCTCTGCTAGCATACCCTGCTGCTGCCCCTCTGCTAGCATACCCTGCTGCTGCCCCTCGCCTTCCTCTAGTGCCTGAAAGAATGCTGCAGAGCTTGACAGACGCTAAAACAGAGCTGTGAGTGCCAAGCTTGGGTGTCAGGCACCACGAAGGCACTGACTATAATGAAAGAACCTGACGTTAAGCGCATCATTGACCGTGTTACTGAAGCAAGGCTTTCATTGACGTCTGAATGCTTAGAGCAACTCGTGAAAACACAGCAAAACTTTCAAATATAAGAAATACAGAAGGCCTATAGGCCTATAAAAGCAGCAGCTTTTGTGCATTCTGAACTGTTCTACCACATCTTCTTGTAAAAAACTTTCAAGACCAACTTTATTGCATGTCATCGTCCTTTAAAATGGATCACTAAGACTGTAGTTGACCTCAGAATATGTCAGATTCAGTTTCGACCAAGAGATATAACGATGCACTTTCCATAACCCTGGGACATACTTTCCCAATTATATCGTTTCCTAATAATGAATCAAATTTAGCATCGGTTAAACTTTGTCTGAGGCAAAACACAATACTCTAAGCATGATTGGTTATTCACACTCGTACATTGATGGTCCCCTTTCAGTGCCACAACAGTGAAGCTGCAGTTGCCTCGTTAATGGGGGGAGTCCGTATAAACAAATGGGTATCTACCCTTCAGACTGAACTCTTGTCATATTCCTTGCATTCAAATGTGTACACGTCTGAACAAATCCACAAGGGCCGTGACGAGGATTCGAACCTGCGTCCGGGAATCCTCGTCACGGCCCTTGTGGATGTGTTCATTTGATGCATCACGTTAGTGTGATCTCTGTGTGTGTACACGTCTGCATAATTGGCACGTTAATTATGACATCTTACCATCTTAATTAAGCTCAACTTCTTGGACACAATTAAAGCATGTTTGTGTCTAAAGCTAGACAGACACTCGATAATAATACTGGAATTAGAGTCCATTTTATGTGGACACAATCTTGTGTTAGCTTCTAGTGTACGTCCTGTGTAACTGAGCCTAATTATACCTGAAGTTTTCTCGAGCAGTGCTTCACTAACTTCACTGTCTAAACCCATTTCCTTATATGCATTTCACTCCACTTTAATTAAATGTTTATAAATGTTGTCCATTTCTAACTATGTTTAGGAAATATTTAGTATGACGTCTCAGATATATAATTATACTCCAAACGTCTTTCTCTTACGACTAACCATCACACAGTCGTCACCTCAAGCAGCCATCTGAGAGCTGTCTCAATGGCTTAGATCACAGGCCTGCTTCACCTCATAATCCCCCCCCCCCAACTCCCCCTCCCCCCAACTCCCCCTCCCCACGGAGCATGTTTCTCATCAAACTTCACCTCACAACCTCCACCCCCATCCACCGCCTGAGCATGTCTCTCGTGTGTTTGTTGCATTTGTGCGTCTGTATTTGCTTTGCTCTGCCATGTACTTGTTCGTGACGCAAATGTGTGGCTGTGTGTGGAGTCCGTCCTCTCCAGCTGGAACTTGATGCTAAGAATGTGTTTGATTTATACTGCTGTACACCTGTTTAGTAGTACACCTGTTTTTAGTTTAGAATGCCTAGGGCGAGTACCGGACCGGGCGGCGTGCTGACTGCTGAGGAGTGGTTACGCGCACACTGGCAGACGACGGTAATCAGTGTTGAATTGTTAGTTAATGAAGCCTATCGGGGGTGATTATAAGGGTGATTAAGCACCTGTCTTAGTTAATACACTAGTGACTCCCAGGTACTAGTGACTCCCAGGTACTAGTGACAGAATTAATCACAAGACGACGACCCCATCCTGCAGACACCAACAGTAACCCTACACCAGCCTGGTCACTCTGCCTCCCTCACACTCTGCCTCCCTCTCACTCTGCCTCCCTCACACTCTGCCTCCCTCACACTCTGCCTCCCTCTCACTCTGCCTCCCTCTCACTCTGCCTCCCTCTCACTCTGCCTCCCTCTCACTCTGCCTCCCTCACACTCTGCCTCCCTCTCACTCTGCCTCCCTCACACTCTGCCTCCCTCACACTCTGCCTCCCTCACACTCTGCCTCCCTCTCACTCTGCCTCCCTCTCACTCTGCCTCCCTCTCACTCTGCCTCCCTCACACTCTGCCTCCCTCTCACTCTGCCTCCCTCTCACTCTGCCTCCCTCTCACTCTGCCTCCCTCTCACTCTGCCTCCCTCTCACTCTGCCTCCCTCTCACTCTGCCTCCCTCTCACTCTGCCTCCCTCTCACTCTGCCTCCCTCTCACTCTGCCTCCCTCTCACTCTGCCTCCCTCTCACTCTGCCTCCCTCTCACTCTGCCTCCCTCTCACTCTGCCTCCCTCTCACTCTGCCTCCCTCTCACTCTGCCTCCCTCACACTCTGCCTCCCTCACACTCTGCCTCCCTCTCACTCTGCCTCCCTCTCACTCTGCCTCCCTCTCACTCTGCCTCCCTCACACTCTGCCTCCCTCTCACTCTGCCTCCCATCACACTCTGTTGCCCTTCACACACTGCCTCCTACACTGCCTCCCTCACACTCTGCCTCCCTCTCACACTCTGTCTCCCTCTCACACTCTGTCTCCCATCACACTATTTCCATGACAAGTTTAACTAAACTGCTACAGCTAATTATATACTGAACAACTAACTTCACAGCCAAATAAACTACGAAACATGAGTTAATTCTTTTCTTTAATGTGGTTGATTAGTTCAATTAATTTATAATGTACCCCATACCCATCCTGTGAGTGGTAGTGCACTCCATACCCATCCTGTGAGTGGTAGTGCACTCCATACCCATCCTGTGAGTGGTAGTGCCCTCCATACCCATCCTGTGAGTGGTAGTGCCCTCCATACCCATCCTGTGAGTGGTAGTGCCCTCCATACCCATCCTGTGAGTGGTAGTGCCCTCCATACCCATCCTGTGAGTGGGAGTGCCCTCCATACCCATCCTGTGGGCGGTAGTAGACCCCATAACCATCCTGTGAGTTATAGTGGAAAGGTTAGAGGCACAGAATGAGCTCAGAGAATGAACGCCCATGCATTTAGAAAATAAGTTTTGCTTAGAATAGAATACAAACCAAATGAATAGGAATGAGCCAATCATTATTTTTTGGTCCAAGCCAATTTGCTAATTTAATTAAGCAAGAATTTTGATTCGTTTCAGTTTGATTTGCTCTAAGTGAATATTATGTAGTATAAACATGTTACAGAAATCCCAATAACGTGATGCATCAAATGAACAAATCCACAAGGGCCGTGACGAGGGTTCGAACCTCTTCTCTGACGTAGGTTCGAATCCACGTCACGGCCCTTGTGGATTTGTTCATAAACATGTGCTATTTGTGGGTGGGATTGTGTAATTGTGTGTGTACTCACCTATTTGTGATTGTGGGGGGTTAAGCTCTGGCTCTTTGGACCCGCCTCTCAACTGTCAGTCAACTGACCATCACAGTTGCCGCTGAGAACGTCTGTCTTGAACTTGGACTCATCTAAGGACAAAACACTTAAAACTTCAGTAGTGTTGAACAGTGTAAATGAGGCCCTCGCCAGCATGAGGCAAGAACGTGCTACTCTCATCAAGGAGTATATAATTTTATAATTTGATTTTCTGGCTCGAAGATGCCCAATTGTTGTGACTCATGTTGCTGCTCTCTCTACTGGGGCGGCAGAGGCGAGACTGCTGATGAGGACGTTGATTGTGTCAGTGTCATCAGTTTGATTTTCCGTAGTGTACACCCTGCAACCTAAATAGATATGCTTTTGCTTCTCCTCAAATACACGCGTCCACACCTCTAACATTCACGTATACTAACCACCCCGCCATGGCTTCTTATTCCTCCAACATTATCACCTCCCATGTCGGACCCCCTTCCACTGGGCCCAAACTTACAGTAGTAATATCTACGTTTCCCCTGCAGGCCAGCAGACGGAGGTGGAGGCCCTGGAGGGGGATCGGGCGTTCCTACCATGTGACATGGACGTTCCTACGCCGGGCGAGAAGGTCGCACGTGTTAGCTTTTGGCACGCGAGTCAACACTCCAGCATAATATACAGGTATTGATCGCTTCTCTCGTTGTGGTGTGTGACTGGTTGGGTGGTGGATGGAGGCGAGGTGGGTGTTTGGAAGGATGCCGTGTGTCTGCGGGTATGTGGGTGCGTGGGGTCATTTGTTTATGCCTGGGAGTGTCCTGGTGGGTGTGGTATTGTGCGCGGCAGTGCGCTGCTGTAATTGAAGAGTATCTTGGTTATCTTGAGGTTATCTTGAGATGATTTCGGGGCTTTAGTGTCCCCGCGGCCCGGTCCTCGACCAGGCCTCCACCCCCAGGAAGCAGCCCGTGACAGCTGACTAACACCCAGGTACCTATTTTACTGCTAGGTAACAGGGGCATGGGGTGAAAGAAACTCTGCCCATTGTTTCTCGCCGGCGCCTGGGATCGAACCCAGGACCACAGGATCACAAGTCCCGCGTGCTGTCCGCTCGGCCGACCGGCTCCCTATGTGGGGAGTGTGTGTCTAGAAGTATGTCTGAGTATACGTGTGTTCGCCACAGTATGTGGGTTAGCCCATGGGTATGCGGCCTTCATGTGGCAATTGTACGTACGTGGCGAATGAGAGCACACGCATGGGGGGGGGGGGGGGGAAAGAGTGCCTGGGTATGGGGTGCACAACTCTGCGTGTGTTCACGAATATGAAGGCATGTGCGGGAACATATATTTAAAATGGATATGCGTGGATATGTGGTATTCCCCCCCCCCCCCCTCGCCCCTTTCTCCAGGTTACTGTACGTGGTGTTGCCTCACGTGTCCGCGCTACCAGACACTCCCACCCGCCCGCCACTCCCAAACGTTACCTCCACCTCTTCCATCACCGCCGTTCCGGATACTTCCCCTCTAGTCCATAGTATGACCACTGGTCCATATCCTCGACTCGCATCCATGGATCCTGGGTTCGATCCGCGGATAAGAGATAAATAGGTACCGTTCATTTCACCTGATGCCTCTGTTCACCTTGCAATAAATACCCGGGAGTTAAGCAACTGCTGAGGGTTGCATCCTCGGGATTTGTGTGTCCAGAATACACAGCCATATTGTTTTCTCTCTCCGCCTTCCCAAGCCTCTGGTTCTTCTATCCACCCGGGGGGCTCTAGGGGACTCGCACTCTGGACCCCTTGTGTGTGAAGCAGAGGCTCTATCGACCGAGCTATTGAGAAGTGTTCCTCTGGTCCTTTTTCTCAACGCCTGACCTTGCTTCTCCCAGGGTCGACGTGGAGGGGAAGCCCTTCGCCAAGGCCTCCCACTGGGCCCCCAACAGCTATTCCACGAGGGCGGTCCTGGAGGAGCAGGGTCTCGTCCTCGATGACGTGTCCCACAAGGACGAGGGCGAGTACAGGTGCCAGGTGCAGTTCTACGAGGCTCCGTCCAGGGTGTCAAGGATCACGCTGACTGTGGTGGGTGAGTTTCCTGGCACTCTTTAGGGGGGGGGGGGACTCATTAGAACATAAGAACAAAGGTAACTGCAGAAGGCCTATTGGCCCATATGAGGCAGCTCCTCGTATGTTTTAATTAATTGGTGTTTACGAATGACTGGGAATAGGTAAGAATGACTGGCAGTGGGTAAAAATCGTTTTATTGTCCCACTTATCCGACTCCACTATCCTTTGCTTTGAAGTTGTGATTAACAAAACTACCGGAACAACGTCCCGTGTAAACGGTTTTACAATATAGTGTCCTCGTTAAAACGAGCAATATCCAAATGCAATTAAAACACAGGTGTACTGGAAACTCAAAATTATCAGTGAATTCTTACATTATAATGTATTATTTCCCATGTTAGTGATTATTGTATTGTACCGGTGTTCCATTATATTGCTGTTTTATATGCTGTATTTTACTGTAGTATTTTATTATGTTGAAATTTGATCAAATCACCAGTACAAATGGGGGGACCTTTGACAAGCTGCCGGCTTCCTGTCCTCATCGAGGCTATTTGATAGTGGTCCTCGGGTAAATTCATGTAAATATATACACAGGCTTCCTGTCCCCAACAAAACGAATTAAATACCTGAACAATTCCAATGTAATTCGTCAGATCCCGCGATAAGCTTGGCGATAGAGGGCGGTGGTGTGGTGGGCCGTGCCGGCGTCCCTCGGGAGGTGGAGATGACAGTGTCCGGCAGCAAGCCTCCGTTCGCCGTCTCCTGCCTGCTCGACGGTGTGACTTACACCCCCAAGGTCACTTGAGGCTTGTATATCCTGTTTATCTCGTGTATTGATCAGTCTTGGCACTACTCGAGTAACGTCACGGTGGTTATAGTACTCTGCGAACCATCTTGTACCGAGGCGTGATGTCGAAGCTATCTTAACTCGTCTCTTATCGTCTAGCTCTTAATTAGTATTTAAAATACTCTTTTCCGCTGATAATATCGTCTTGCTTCCGTACCTGCCTCTACTAATTGTTTTTGACTGTCTATATGCTAATACACTAATTACAGGTCTTCCTCTCACGCAGGTGTCATTAATGCACCTGTGATCATTTCGTCGAGGAACGTGTATAGTCAACTTGGCCTGATATGCATTCCAACTTGTTTCTCAAACTTATATAGTAATCTCTTTCTCTCTTGTGGTGGGATTTGTGACAATATCTGATAATCTGTCAACGTCTTTCCTGCTTTATTGTTTAAATGTTCAATAAAGTCGTAAGTTTGTTAGGCACAGCTTTCCTTCTCTGTAGACATTTTGATTTTCTGAAACAATTAATTTTTTGTGATAAACGAGTCTCCTGGTGATCCTGCAAGTTACTAGGAGTCGGAACTATTAGCTAGTGATTATCTGTATGAAGTTTGGTGGTACTTGTTTTTCACTAATTATTGTTATCTTTATTGTACAGACACACACTATTGCCTGTTTTCTAAGCCAATAGTTGTTTGCTTTTACTAAATAGCTGAACACTAACAATTGGTACACAAAAGATTTCAAGTTGTCTCTTTGTCTATGTCTGAGGGAGCCGAGCGGACAGCACACTGGGCTTGTGATCCTGTGGTCCCGGGTTCGATCCCGGGCGCCGGCGAGACACAATGGGCAAAGTTTCTTTTACCCTATGCCCCTGTTACCTAGCAGTAAAATAGGTACCTGGGTGTTAGTCAGCTGTCACGGGCTGCTTCCTGGGGGTGGAGGCCTGGTCGAGGACCGGGCCGCGGGGACACTAAAAAGCCCCGAAATCATCTCAAGATAACCTCAAGATTGGGTATCCATGGTGTGACGATAATCTCCTTCAAGAGATTGAGCCTGCTCTTCCCTCCATAATTACGTCTTCACAATTATATAAAAAGACTATGGAAGAAATGTCCAACAACGACAACAACACCAGCAAGGCTTGCCAGGGTGAGCAGAAACGTATGCAGCCAGCCACCTGTTCGAACTCCAACCACCAAACTACCCGTTGATCGCTACGGCTCCGCTGATTGGTCGCCGGTCTGGCTGCACCTGCCTCGCCCCCCCCCCAATACTACCTGATGTCTGGGGTCGCCCCAACATCAGTCCTCAGAATGTTCAGTGCTTTCGTAGCCAGCACTCCTCCCAGCTAGACGTTAGCGTGTACTGAGAGAGGTGGTGGCTTTAAGCCAATATTCCAGCACCTCCCACTTACCTTTGTGTTGCACTTCTTGTTATTTTGCCTTAACGTAACTTTTCATTGTGTCATTTAAGTATTCTTATTATTTTGATTGATTGATTTTATTATAAGAATTTGTTTGTGCATTATTTTCATGTTTTGATTTATTTAACGTAATTAAAATTTCATTGTTAAAGTTTACTTGTGTTTTGTGTGTCTTCTCCTTACCTTACCACAGACGAAGTTCCAGTTTTTCTATTTTTTTTTATAACTATGTGACGAGGCCATACCCCTAGCCTTAAACAGCCGAACACCAACGCGTTACCGTCACAAGTTATATGGGGGCCTGTCCTAGGAGCTTCACTCAGGTACTGGTGCCAAGTGGTAATTTATGGTAAGCGTATTTAACTTTGTTAACGTAGCTTTACTATTTTTCATTCAATTTCATTTTTTATAAGGTGCGGTGTATTGTGCATTACGAGAGTAACATATAGTGAAGGTGAGACAACTTTGGATTACGTGGTGACTGTAGGCCGCAGTCATACTCTTAATTGGTCATCTCTCCCTCCTTGTTATTACTCGTATTTACCATCTATGTCCCTTGAATATTTCTCATTCTGACAGATCATCATATTGGTACCCTGGTACTGTGGTCTGCCCCGGGTCAAGAGTACCCAATCTTCTGCAATCTGACTGTAGGAGGACAAAGAGGGCCATAGTTCCTCTAGCTCGAACTTTAGTTGCTGAATTGGGACCTCAGCAGCAGTTCTCGTCACAAGTTGACACCTCGCACCCCTACACGTCAGTCAGAGATGATGATACATACAACGGTAGGGAATTAGCTTATTTTTTCAGAGCACAAAAGTTCGCTAATTCTGTAAGTATCATATTAAATTCAGTAGGAAAAACTTGCTTTATGTCCTATAGAGACTTGGCAAGGTATGCCTACATCCTTGGACTACCAATTTTACTTTTGAAGCATTTAACTGTTTCATTTGTTTTCGAAACTTTGTTTCATTTGTTAGTAGGATTTTCTTGCCCTTATTCTCTTACATGAGTACCGGGTACAAGATTTCCTGCGCTCTTGATTTAATTTAATCATTTAATATCTTTCACTTAACGTTAATTGTTAAAGATCACACAGGATAGGTGCCAGTTGCCACGTTGTCCTGTTTCTGACATTTCATTATTGAACATTCGTGTACCTTTATTTGCTAATTTCACCATGTTTCGTCTCCAAACTTTCCGTGCAAATCCAGCAGGTGAAATAGGGACTTTAAGTCGTGCCAAGAGGACTGAATTACAAACTCTTGCACATGAGTATCAACTAGAAGTTCCCTACCAAGCCAACAAAAATGACCTACACAACCTGTTGCTGGATTACTATTTAGAGCAAGGTAAGATAGACTCTGAAACTCATGAAACTTACTATATTGCAGATAAAACTGATTTGGCAACGCTGAAACTCAAACTAGAGCTGGCCAAGATTGAACGTGAGCAGCAAAGGGAAGCCCTCGAACAACAAGAACGAGCTGCTGCCATACGAAGAGAAGAACAAGAACGCGAAGCTGCTTTGAGGAGAGACGAACAAGAACGCGAAGCTGCTTTGAGGAGGGAAGAACAAGAACGAGAAATCACCCTCAGAGAACGTGAAGCTGCTTTGAGGAGAGAAGAACACGAACGCGAGGTCGCATTACTCCGTGAACGTGAAAGAGTACAGCTTGAAACCAAACAACGCGAGTTGGAAATACAACGCGAACATGACAAGCAACAAGCGACTCTGGCTCTAGAGTGTCGTCAACGCGAAATCTCCTTGGAAACTTCACACTTCACCCAACGCCAGCAAGCTACTGCCAATCTTCCCGTCAGTTTTAATATATCACATGCAAGTAAGTTAATGCCATCCTTTGTAGAAGCAGAAGTTGATGTTTTTTTCACCACCTTTGAAACCCTTGCTAATCAACTCAGTTGGCCTGTCAACCAATGGGCCACACTTCTCAGAGTCCATCTTACAGGTAGAGCTGCAGTCACACTCAGTACTTTGGCGTCTGAGAATGACTACCACACTCTGAAACAAGCAGTGTTGGACGCCTACCTCCTCTCTACTGAAAGTTATAGAAGGAAATTCCGTGACCACCTGAAGGCAAGTACCACTACCTTCCTCGAGTTTGCTAACACGAAACGGAGGTATTTCATGAAATGGCTGGAAGCAGCACATGTCTCTACTTTTGCAGAACTCGTCAACCTGATGCTTGTTGAAGAATTCTTGAGACGTGTGCCGCCTCCTGTCCGCCTCTACTTAGCAGATAAAGAAGAAACCGACTACCTGAAGTGTGCTAAGTCGGCTGACACTTACAGCCTCATCCACCGGCTGACACCTGAACCATCCTCCAGTAAGAAGTCGTGGTACAGTTACGAGAAGGTGAGCCCCGATCAAGCTGGTTCACAACTGTACTGCAAGTATTGTAGACTCTATGGACATACCATAGACAAGTGTGGTAAGTCTCAATACAAGGGAACCACTGACCAACAACGACCCAAACCAACTCCTCCTAAGTCCGGTAAGCCTGTGATGAATGTTGGTGTTGATGTTAATGATCTTTCTCTTTTCAGTAACCACCTGTATACTGGAACTGTCTCTGCCAACGGTTCAAATCCGGAGGGACGTTTCAAATTGAAGATCTTGAGGGACACAGCGGCTCTACAATCGATCATCTTGAAGTCGGCTGTGCCCAACATAGTCTACACCGGGGAAACAGTCTTCATCACTGACCTCACTGCTACTACTCCATACCCTCTCGCCAGAGTCCACCTGGATTGTCCCTACGTGAACGGGGAAGTCCAAGTCGCCGTCAGGGAAAAGCCTTTTCCCATGCCTGGAGTGCAACTTCTCCTAGGCAACGACTTGGCAGAAGACCTGCAACCGACCAACCTGATCGTCATGGACAAACCCCAGGTGTGTAACTCTGTGCCAATAAATCCTATTCTCGAGTATGTTCCAGCAGAGGTTCAAGAGTGATGAAGTTTCTCCTCCGGTTCTCGTGACCACCCGTGCACAAGCCGCACGTCCACAGCCAGCTGACTCTACTGCTACCGCTGTCCCTCAAGACCCTCAGAAACTACCCCCGCATCTGACCAAGTTGGAGTTCCGTAAGTTGCAGAGGGAAGATCTTACTTTAACACCATTGTTTTTCCAGGCTGAGACTCAACCCGACAGTATTCCTGGGTTCTTCCTAGAGAACGACTTGCTCTACCGCAGATATAGACCCAGTAAACTGAAGGAGGAGGACGATTGGGCCAACACCGAACAACTTGTGATTCCCACCAGCCTGCGGCCCACTATTCTACACCTGGCCCACGGAGCATTCTCCCACTACGGCTTCAACAAGACTTACCATGGGATTCGCCAAGACTACTACTGGCCAGGTATGGTAAATAACGTCAAACAGTACGTAAAACAGTGTCATACATGTCAGATGGCAGGCAAACCGAACGTCTCCATTCCCAGAGCACCACTGATTCCCATACAGGTGCCTGCGGAACCTTTCCACAGACTCATAATAGACTGTGTTGGTCCTTTACCTCGGACCAGTTCAGGTAACGCCTACATCCTAACCATCTTGTGTCCTACCACCAGATTTCCCATAGCAGTTCCAGTGAAGAACATCACGGCTGCTACGGTTATCAAACATCTATTGAAGATCTTCACTCAATACGGATTTCCCAGGGAGATTCAAAGTGACTGTGGCACCAACTTCACCAGTGATCTCTTCAAAAGGACACTGGAGGAGTTCAACATCAAACAGGTATTGTCCAGCCCCTATCATCCTGCTTCACAGGGTTCTCTTGAACGTAGTCATCAGACCATCAAAGCACTCTTGAAAAAGTTTTGTAGTGAAACCTCAAAGGATTGGGATAAGCAGATTGACCTAATAATGTGTATTTTCAGAAGTCTCCCCAATGAGTCCCTAGGAGTATCTCCTTATGAGATGCTCTACGGCCGTAAGTGCCGTACTCCCCTTAAGGCTTTCAAAGACTCTCTCAGAGATGCCACCTTCAGTGAGCATCAGAATGTGCCCCAGTTTCTTCAAAACCTTCAACACATTCTAGAGAGAGTCCACCGCTTTGCTCATGATAATCTATTGAAAGCCCAGGTGAGAATGAAGACTCATTACGACCAGACCAGCAAAGTAAGAAAATTCAAGCCGGGAGACTTCGTCCTTGCTTATTTCCCTATCCCAGGTTCACCTTTACAAAACAAATTTTCAGGACCCTACTGCGTCAAAGAGTGCAGAAGCAACAACACATACGTCATAGAGACTCCAGATAGGCGGCGGAAGACCCAGCTGTGCCACGTCAACCTCCTGAAGCAATATAATGGTACTCCTCCCACTGTCTTGATTAATTGTTCTACCTTCACAGAACCCTACATCCACAGTGAGACCATCCCGGCTTCTTCTCCCGAAAGCACTGACAAGGAGTCAGCGCTTTCTAATTCCGAAATCCTTAATGATCTTCCCAAATACTTTCAGGATAATCATAGTGCACCTCTCGTCAAGATCTTCAGAGAACATCAAGAGTTGTTCCGAGATGATCCCCAAGAGTGTAATGTTACCCAGCACGACATCCAACTGCTCCCCGACACCCGGCCGATTCGTCAACCCTTCTACCGAATCAGCCCGAGCAAGAAGGAAGTCATGCGTGCTGAGGTGCAATACCTCTTGGATCATGGACTGGCTACACCTTGTGAGTCCCCCTGGGCCTCACCCTGTATCTTGGTGCCCAAACCCCAAGGTAAGGTGCGGTTGTGCACTGACTATCGTAAACTGAACTCTGTCACTGTCAAGGATGCTTACCCCTTGCCAAGGATAGATGACATCCTTGATGCCATTGGTAGTGCCCAGTACTTGTCCCAAGTGGACTTGCTTAAGGGGTACTATCAAGTGTGTCTAACGGAGCGCGCTAAAGAGATATCTGCCTTCATCACTCCTTTTGGACTTTTCAGATATGAACGCCTTCCTTTCGGACTATGTAATGCCCCGGCCACCTTTCAAAGAGCTGTCAACCGTGTCATCCAGGGCTTGGATAACACATACGCCTACCTGGACGATATCGTCGTAGCCTCCAACTCCTGGAGTGCACATCTGCTCCAGCTGCGACGTCTGTTCTCCAAGCTCCTGACAGCCGGCCTCACCATCAACCTGGGCAAGTCCACTTTCGCGAAAGGTAAAGTGCGTTATCTGGGTCATGTTATTGGGAGTGGCAGCATAGCTCCGTTAGACTCACACACTCAAGCCATCCTACAGTATCCACAGCCTACCACCAGGAAGCAGCTCCTGCGCTTCCTTGGTCTTGCCTCTTACTACCGTAGGTTTGTGAGGAATTTCAGTACAGTCGCCACACCTCTAATTCTATTAACCAGTCCCAAGCAACGGTATAATTGGACCATGCAGCAAACCGTTGCTTTCGAACAACTCAAATTCCTCCTCTGTTCTAACCCCATTCTCGCCTCTCCAGATATCACCAAGCCTTTCGTCCTTCATGTCGACGCCAGTGGTACCGGCGTTGGTGGTGTCCTGATGCAACAACGAGGCGAGGAGGTTCTACCTGTCAGCTACTACAGCTACAAACTGAAACCACACCAGAGGAACTACAGCACTATTGAAAAGGAGCTACTATCCATCGTCCTGAACCTCCAACACTTCGCTCCGTACCTACAAGGCGCCAGGTCTACCACCATCTTCTCAGACCACAACCCTCTCCGCTTCCTACATCAAGCCCAATTCACCAACCAGCGTCTTCTACGATGGGCTCTGTATTTACAAGACTTCAACCTGGAGATCCGCTATATCAAGGGTTCTGACAACACCATAGCCGATGCCCTCTCCAGAGTTTATGAAGTAGAAGCGACTCCATCCATTACTCCACCACATAACGACGTACTTCTTCCAGAACCGCAGGCTTCGGGGGAGAGTTGTGACGATAATCTCCTTCAGGAGATTGAGCCTGCTCTTCCCTCCATAATTACGTCTTCACAATTATATAAAAAGACTATGGAAGAAATGTCCAACAACGACAACAACACCAGCAAGGCTTGCCAGGGTGAGCAGAAACGTATGCAGCCAGCCACCTGTTCGAACTCCAACCACCAAACTACCCGTTGATCGCTACGGCTCCGCTGATTGGTCGCCGGTCTGGCTGCACCTGCCTCGCCCCCCGCAATACTACCTGATGTCTGGGGTCGCCCCAACATCAGTCCTCGGAATGTTCAGTGCTTTCGTAGCCAGCACTCCTCCCAGCTAGACGTTAGCGTGTACTGAGAGAGGTGGTGGCTTTAAGCCAATATTCCAGCACCTCCCACTTACCTTTGTGTTGCACTTCTTGTTATTTTGCCTTAACGTAACTTTTCATTGTGTCATTTAAGTATTCTTATTATTTTGATTGATTGATTTTATTATAAGAATTTGTTTGTGCATTATTTTCATGTTTTGATTTATTTAACGTAATTAAAATTTCATTGTTAAAGTTTACTTGTGTTTTGTGTGTCTTCTCCTTACCTTACCACAGACGAAGTTCCAGTTTTTCTATTTTTTTTTTATAACTATGTGACGAGGCCATACCCCTAGCCTTAAACAGCCGAACACCAACGCGTTACCGTCACAATGGCAAGATCGCCTCTGAGTTTATGACCTTTGTCGCTTCCATCTCCTCTAGCTGTTTCAGGACCTTTTCCGACATCACTTCAACTTTGGTTAGTATGTGCACTTGAGTGTCCGTTTTCTCAAGTGCAACTCTGATATTACCTAGAAAATGTCCTGAAACCATTTACTGAACACCCAAGGTTTTCTTTATCATTTATTCCATATAAATAGGAGGTGATGAGGTCCTTCCTCTCGTTTGCTTATCCTAATTAGTAAATTAGACATCTTTCTCTTTACGTGTCTATGGAGCTCCGGAAGCTGGTCAGTATCATATTTTTTGTTCCTTTTCTAAATTCTTATCATTCCTTGTTCTTCGATATTTTTTTCAGCAATTCCCGTATTTCTTGATGTCTGGCTTCTTCCATTTGACCTCCAAGCACTACCTGTCGAACTTTGGATTGGTGTCAATATTGGATGCTTTGTCCCTCGGTGTTGTGTTGTATTACTGGCAGTCTTTCATGCCTTGATCTCTTTCTCCCGAGGTCTCCTTCCATCGGTATTCTCTCAAGGATACAAGATCATCCGTAGCTCTCCTTCATGTTTATAAATCCTTATCTGTTGGAAGAGGTTAAGGCCCTCAGCGTTGGAAAGTTGAGACAGGGTTGTGGTGAGGGGGAAAGGTGGTGATGAGGTTAGAGACGAGAGCGGTGATGAGGATGGAGAAGGGTTGTATGTAGCTGCAGGAGTGTGTGGTGTAGATGCGGGCGAAGGACAGCAGCCCAACACCTGATTGATTCCCCTGGTGTGAGGGAGGCGTGGGAAGGGAGAGATGTGGGTGTAAGGGGGCTGGGGGTTGATGTGGGAGGGTTGGAGCAATGTGTGTGTGTGTGTTGGACGTGTCACTACAAGATTCCCGGTAGTATAGTTTGGGTTCCTTCTCGACACACAATCGGAAATCCCGGGTGAGACAGAAATGGTTGGGCACGTTTCCTTTCACCAGACAGTAAATAGATGTCCGGGTGTTGGTCACTTGTTGAGGCATCACATCCTGAGGGGGAGCTTGAAATAAATAACGAATATATATATTAACAGGCTGACTGTCTCTAACAAAATGAATTATTAATTAAATCTTTGAGCCATATATTTATTACTGTGACCTTATTTTTGTCAATAATTATACGAGAGGTCCTAGTCTTAGAGAATGAGAAGTAACCTCCCAGGATGACCTCAGTTGACCTTGACTCTCTCCTGTACCAGCAGCAGCGGGAGGTAAACAAGTTTATTCTCAAGTGGACGCCCTCAGCCAGCCAGCACGGAGCCAACCTCTTCTGTGATGCAAACAGGACAGCATTGCCAGGCACAGCCTCTGTATCCACCAAGCTCTCTGTGCTCTGTAAGTACCTGCATTGTTCCCTAAAGAGAGAGAGCGAGAGAGAGAGAGCGAGAGAGAGAGCGAGAGAGAGAGCGAGAGAGAGAGAGAGAGTGTGTGTGTGTGTGTTTGCGCGCGCGAGATTATATATAAAACGGCACACACACAAAACATTAATCGCCAACCAACATGAAGTGTTGTTGCCTGTTACAGACCAGCCGGTGGTGGAGGTCCGTCCTGGCATCAACCAGAACCTGGAGAACGTGCAGGAGGGCGACGACGTCAACCTCATATGTGTGGTCGAGGCCAACCCTGCCAGCGCCGACGTCACGTGGATGCATGATGTAATGCAGGCGAGAGCAAGGAGGGACGGGGATAGGCAAGATTAGCAAGGAAAGGGAGGAATGGAGGGAAGGAGAGAGAGCTCAGAGATTTGGGTGGGGGGGGGGATGGGATGTGAGTAGGTGAAGGATGATTAGGTAGTGAGGGATTGGACTACAAACGTGAGCGGTGTGAGGATTGGCGGAGGTGAAAGGCTTGGAAAATTAATGGGAAGGGAACTGGCTAGATAAATCCTTTGAAAGCTGTGTGGAGGCATGTTTCAAAGACCAGCCTGTAGTAGGACTGTCAACCCCCCACCCCCACCCATTAGATAATTAAGAGGAGTTATGGACAGTGTCGTGTTAAGCACACATGAGTCAATCTGCACCACTGAATTTACCTGAGGGTCACTAACACACTTGTGGCTTACGAGGACAGGAAGCCAGCGGCTTATCAAAGGTCCCCTCCCCCCATTTGCCCTAATGAATTTTTCCAGCTAGATGATCCACTTTTCCACTGATCAACACTGACTTTGTAGGGAGAGCATTGCATTGATTCATTTAGAGTGGGTATTCAGCAGGGATTAAGTAATATTTAGCATTAAAACCAACATTTATTTATACTGTATTTCTCTTAAAATGAGTTGATTTAATTCAATAGTGAAATGAAAAGCTTGGAAAATTTTAGTCAAAAGTTAAAGGTTTATACAAACTCAGACAAGTGCTTTCCACTGCACCAAATCACCTCAAGGTCTTCTCCTGCAGGGGAAGATCGTGCTCGAGGAGTCCACCACCAACGTCCTGGAGCTGGAGACCGTCGCTCACTCGTCCTCTGGGAACTACAGCTGCCGCGCCTCCAACAGTGAGGGAACAACCACCTCTGAAAGCCTTCCTCTTCAGGTTAAGTGTGAGTGGCCGTCGTCGCCAGTTGACCAGGTCTTGCTAATCACTAATCAGGGTCTTTCACAATAGGAACCAATAGATAATTTTGGCGTGAAAGCAAATAGATAATTCTGAACCTGAAAACAGGTTCTTAACTTCATTTAAGAATCTGATTTTGGGGAAGAAAATAAAATTACAAAGTTAAGCAGAGAAAATAAGCTTTGTTCACTAGGATTCTTTCTCGCAATCTCCCCAATACAAAGCCGTCTCCCCCACACTAGGCTGTCTCCCCCCTCTTACAATCCCCCTCATACCAAGGTGTCTTTCCCCTCTCACAGTCTCCCCACACTAAGCTGTCTCCTCCTCCTCCTCACAACCTCCCCTCACCAAGCTGTCTCCCTATCATTGACCACACTATTATTCCCTAACAGACACCCCAATGTGTGTCGCGAGCCAGAAGGTGGTGACTGTGTCTCGGTCGGCCTTCCTGTTAGGAGAGGTCACCTGCCCTGTAGAGGCATATCCCCCTTCAGACTCCTTCAGGTGAGCTGCAGTTTTACTATACAGGGTACTGAGAGGGCATTGGTGGATAGAGAACATGAAAATAGAGCAAATTTCAAGAAGCTGATTGATCTATGCATGGCAGCTCCAATTTCTAACCACCCAAACTCATTCCATCCAGGCTCATATCCGCCCATACTCCCTACATTGTGGCCAGCGATGGCTTTCCCCATATTCATACAGTAATTGGCCCATTTAGGAACATTTGTAGAGGGGGGGCCCCTCCCCCCTGATTCACAGCCAAGGTCTGTTTTAGTGAAATGATTTATTACAAACATTGTTTTTCTAAACAAAAAATAAAATTATTCAAAATGTAAGTGGACATTGTTAGAAACAAATGATCTTTTTGGGATTTCTAACAACTTTTATTAAAACAAAGATGTTTCTTCTTTCTCTGCAAAGTATTTTAGGATTTTTCTAAGTTTATGCTACTAATTTCACATTCAATGGAGATAATTGCCAATTATTCAACCATTCTTGTTGAATCTAAGCTGAATCTAAAACAACCTTAATCCTAACACTTTGTCTTCTGTCTTGGGTCAGATGGGCGATGGTCACACTGACGGGGAAGAAGAAAGTGAACCCGAGCCGCTACCGTAGCAGCGGTCGAGTGCTGGAGTTCATCTCGCTGAAACACACGGCATTGCAACTACACTGTTGGGGCAGAAACGAGATGGGCGAGCAGGAGTACCCATGTGTGTTTAATATTCCTTCACGTGAGTACTATGTCAAATTTTAACCAATTTCTCATCTTTCCATTGACTTTATCCAAAGTGATGATCTTGGTTTTCATTATTTGTATTTTGTGGTTCATATTTTCCGGTTTAATGTGGTTTTTAACTCACGTTTAATTGTGTTCGTCATTGTGGTGCCTGTGTGTGTTTGTGCTCCAATATTCTGTCTCCATCTCACTCGTCTCGTACGTACACTAAAGACCTTAATATACACCCCTCATTCTGGGTAGATGGGAGTGGTCCTTTACCCAGAAGAGTCAACCACACCAGATATGACCCTGATGACTACCATCTGAGGCGGACCATTCACAAGTGAAAATGAACAGAGGAAAGCAGTAGTGACATTTATAATTTGGTCTTGAGAGAGGCAGTCCACAAGGTGGACACAAAAACACTTTAGTTACTGAGGAAACTAAGCATGGACATTTTGTAGAATACTGGTAAAAAAAATATTAAATAATTTGATTGTACTTCTAATCAGATAATAAGCTCATTAAAATTCAATTCACCATCTTATCTTACTGACTTGTTTAATGATCTACCATCATCCCTGATCCACAACACCCACCATCATTGTTATTGAACCACAACACTCCACTTTCATTCCACACTGCCATTGTGCACAACCACCACCAACCAACAACCATTCGACATTGCCAGTCCCATTCCATTACCATACTACTTGTGTAAAGAAGGAAATGTAATGTTTATCTCTCAGAATGTTTGGTAATATGTTTATTGTTTGTGATGTGTGTGTATATGTATGTATTAACACGATGTACTGAACGGGGTGAGAATAGCTTGAGCTACCTCATCCCTTTGTGTGTATTTTACATCAATAAACTTATTTTAATCCCATTCCAGATCATTTTATATTGACATATCCCACAACACAAACCTACACCATTAACTTTTTCAGCCAAGCCAGAGGCGGTATCTGAGTGTAACGTCACGACCACCAGGATGACTGACACACCTCAAGTGTCTATAGTGGTCAGCTGTGTCTATGGGTTGTCCAGGCATCTCCTACACACCTTCACCTTGAAACTTCTTCACCCAGATGGTAAATGGGAGCAGTTTGAAAACAAGGAACCTGTCTTTACCATATACAGGTAAGTTAGCTCTAGATTTCAATCTTTTTTGTCATTTAGATCATTTATTATGGTTGATGTTGCTGATATTGGTAGCAGCTGTAATGATTAAGATAACTGTAATTATTTTAATCATAAAAAATTATTGTCATTATTTCGGTAAAAGACCAACTTGTGCATATAGCTCTGTGTTGTAGTCTATTGTAGTAGATTCTGAGTCACAATTGTGCTCATATAATTTCTACAATCAAAAAATCACTTGTAACAAATTATCAGCTTCTTTGGCACAATTATAAAATTAAGAGTAACAATTAATATAGCTATGATTGAATTTAGTGTTGGTATATGGTCTTGAGAATATCTTTGCATTAGTAAGTGTCTTTATTAATGTGGCTGTAAGCTATGAGATGTCCATCATAGGGACCTTAACTAAGTGTTTGTGAACAGAGAAAATGCTCTTGATACACACTGGATGTTTCTCATCGTTCTCATAGTAATTACTCTCACTTGTAGCAGTAATTCATAGCAGAATGTTGTACAGTATTTCAGCTGTAAAAAATCACTGGCGACATCTATCATTGTGTTTGTAAGTTAGTGTATGTATATACATTTTCCTAAATACAATTATCTTATTTTATGTCTTTTTTCTTTTAATGATTTAATAACCTCTTCACGAGGTTATGCAGTTCCCTTAAGCGTCCCAGGGTGGTGAACATCACTCTTGTTCTGTTTGCTATTCTAATGATGCCTTTGACTCCATTATGTTTGTTTTTGCATGGTTGCCTGAATGTTTTATTTCTGGGGGGAGTCCCTTCAGCTCCCCGGAGCTATATGGGCTGATATGCTAATGTTGGATTTTGGCATCAGTCATGTGTATGGAGTTCAATGGGCCTACCAGAGACCACGAGCTAGAACCTGGCCCCCTCAGAGAGGTAAGGGGAGCAATGGGCTGTAGAAACCCCCGTGTGATTGGAAGCATTCTATGTCTGCCATTGACCGGGTCAATGGCCATTGCTCCCTTTACCTCTCTGAGGGGGCCAGGTTCTGGCTCGTGGTCTCCGGTAGGCCCATTGAACTCCATACACATGACTGATGCCAATGTCTGACATTAGCATATCAGCCCATATAGCTCCAGAGAGCCTCCGGGTTTCGCCCCGAAAATGGCGTTTCATTACATTCAACGCTGGTTTTTTACTTGGGTTGTAGGTGGGCTGTAGATAACTGCTTCCACTATTGCCTGAACAGACGACAGTGGATGCCATGTGTTAGTGTTCCCTTGGTAACATTTTTTTCACCCATTTGCGTTTAGCGCACATTTTCTCTAATCAGTTCATTTTAATTATCTATACTACTCACCTATATTATTTTTCCCCCCCTTCTAGGTTGTTATTTTCAAGAACTGTTTTACTTATTCCACAATTTCCATTTGAAAATTAGCTATTATTTCTGGTTTCATCCCCCATGCGTACTCCTTCAATGCCTCTGCTTTGTTGGAGGTTCCATCTTTATTTGTATACTAGATGTTGGGTCTCATTCAATGTAGTGTAGTTGAGTGTGTCTGGATCATCATTAATGCTAAGGGGATAAGTTGAAGATCCTCTTCAATATTCAAAATCCTGTCTCCTCCCCTCTTCATTCTTCCTCTTATTTTGCTATCTGGTATTATCAGACTATTGTATTAGTTGCTGTTACAACTTTGTCATTAGTCCTTTCCTTGAATTTATTCTTTGACAGTCCATCAGCGTTAGTGTTCTCGATTTTTAGGCTCTTTGCTCTCATATACTCTGCTCTCATGTACCTGGATCTTTTCACTTTTGTAGTAGAAAAAAATCGGTTCCATTATGTCTTCATGTCGTTAAGATGTCTTTATGCTATTCATGTCACTGTTACTAAATTATGCTTATTATTATTTTGAACAATAATGATTTATTTGTAAAACTTTCATAGTAGCGGGTGCCTGTGTGTGTGATGGTACCTGACCACTTATATTCTTCATCCTACGTTTGTGTGGTGCAGGTTAAGGGAAGATGTGCAGTACCAGATCGAGGTGACAGCAACCAACGCTCATGGAACTGGCGAATCTTACGTCTTCAACTTCACCCTTCACAGCAGCAATAATTCATTTTCACCATCGGAACCGACGACACTGCCTGCAATCCTTCTGCCACTACCACTGCCTTCATCCTCACCATCATCCTCCCTGCCACCACCACTGTCATCATCCTCCCTGCCACCACCACTGTCATCATCCTCACCATCATCCCCACTGCCTGCATCACTACCATCACCACTTCCTTCATCATTTTCACCTTTTCTGGTTTTGTACATTCTGATTTCTGTGGTACTCGTAATGGGCATTTTGGTAGTGGCATTGCTGGTTAAGAAGCTGTGTTTCAGCAACCAGGCACGCATGAAGCCAACAGTCAGTAATGGTCACCCTCACCATCACATACAGGCTAATGGAGGTAATCTGGTCTTAGTTATAAAATAATATGAAATCAACTAGATTAGTATAAGTTTTTGCAGATAATAGGATCCAGTTCTTGTACCCTGTCTCATAACTATTAATCAACCAGTGGGATGTATCTCTACTCTCATGTTTTGTCTTTGTGTACACTGAAAGCTGTGTGTGTGTGTGTGTGTGTGTGTGTGTGTGTGTGTGTGTGTGTGTGTGTGTGTGTGTGTGTGTGCGCGCGCGCGTGCCTGAAGAGTGCTGGGATGCAGGTTCGATCCCAATGTATAACCTAAATATTTTCTCAATGTTTACTACTTAATCATAGTGTTGTCTGGGTGGAAGTGTTTTGTAAGAAAGTGGTTAATGTATGTATTTGAGTATGCTGTATATAATAATACATGAGGATCACTGTAAAGGCATACAGTGATCTCCATGAACAGGGGGGGGGGGTTTCTGCTGTTGTGTACAAGAAGCAATGTAGTCGTACAGTGACTGTGAGGGTTGGTGCTGTGGATGACTGCTCGAGTATAGTGGTGCTTTTAGGATAGTTACCCGTGTCTTCTCCCGAATTACAAGTGCATCATTCAGGAGGTTGGGGGCCGCCTTGTATTTATTTTTGCCCCTGTAGAAAAAATCCAAAAAATTGAGCATAGTGGCCACATCATTTAAAATCTCATTTAAAATACATACAGTTGTTACAATCTTATTTTAGATTTTTTTAAATAATTTGACTTATCACATGAAATATAAAAATACAGAATTATTCTGAAGATTCATAAAAAATATATAGAATTGAAGATATATACTAAACAAAAAAAGTACAGAGATGTTCCTTGAGCAAGTGAGATTGCAATATCATGTCTTGCAGGCACCGGTGTAGAGATGTCGTCACTGCTCTATAGTGCATCACACCTGCACGTCTCCCCAGCACACATCACCACAGTAAGTTTTATTCGTTCTGACTCTTGCAAAGTTAAAATTTATATTATGATTGACACTGACGCAGTATATTAGTTTAGTGTTGCAAATTATAGAATATAGGAGAAATTGACAGTGAAAAACAAGCTAGGTATAAAACGTAATGGTGAAAGTTATATATACATTTTTGTATCTGTTTACCAGTGTATATATATATAGTACGAGATATATTATATTGGCCCATAGCATAAATGTCGGCATTTATCTGTCACCCTGTATTATCTCCCACCTGCAGGCAGACTCATTAGCAAACAATGATGAGAGAGACTTCCTGCTGTCATTGTCCGGGGCTCCTCGTGCATCTATAGACTCCCTAGATGCCTCGCTCGCCAGTGAAGCCTCTGACCTGGGTCATACGGAGGAGGAGGCCATCAGAGTCGTAGTTCCAGTAACGGATTCTCTATCTTCAGCAGTTACAGAGTATTTTTCGTCACCAATCAAAACCATTGAAACTTCTTTATAGAAGTTTTGCAACCAAATTAAAAATATCTTTGGTATCAATTAAGAGCATTACAGAATAGTGTTAAACAAAAATATATTTTTAACATTCATATTTACTTGTTATTGTATATATATGTCACATTTTAATGTATATAAATTATTGTACATATTTTAAATCATGTTATTTAAAGGTTCCTACTCTATTTTGGATTCATCATGTTTCCAAATAATTTTTTTAACAGAACTATAGTACTTACTCTGTATTCATAACCTATGTCAATGTCCTATTTTTTCCTAATGTACGTGCCATAAATGGCTTGCTGAGCAGCTCTAGTTCTGATGATCAATGACCTTGTGGATTAGTATCATCATGGCTTGAGCAAGAGTCTGCTAATTTGGTATTCCATTACAGTAAGCCATAGAAGTATAGTAGGTTGTCATGTGCAGGACTTTTGTAATCTCTCAGGAACTGGAGTCCTCACTTCCTCCTCCATTTTTATCTTTTTTTTTTTTGAGATATATACAAGAGTTTTTACATTCTTGTAGAGCCACTAGTACGCGTAGCGTTTCGGGCAGGTCCCTGGAATACGATCCCCTGCCGCGAAGAATCGTTTTTTCATCCAAGTACACATTTTACTGTTGCGTTAAACAGAGGCTACAGTTAAGGAATTGCGCCCAGTAAATCCTCCCCGGCCAGGATACGAACCCAGGACATAGCGCTCGCGGAACGCCAGGCGAGTGTCTTACCACTACACCACCGAGACTGTGGTGTAGTAAACATCAGATGCATCTCTGGGACACCAGATGTTTTTGGTCCGAGATCACTAAAAGGTGATATGGAAGATAGAAATGTATCGAAAACAAGTTATTGTTACTATCATAGAGCTAAGCATATCCTACATATAAGCAGAGATCTGTTGGTAACCATAATGAGTTCAAGGCTTGGGATCCCCGCTGACCTTTCACAGGTGTCAAGCACAAAGATCTGACTCCGAATCTCACTTCTTGTAGTTACCGAGTGATCTTCCATATGAGGTCTCCATGTTTGGATACAATAATCAAAGTGTGCAAGATCCAAGCACGAGATTGATATTGGTATTTAATTGGATAAATCTCGTGCACCACCACTTGGATTATTGTATCCAAGCATGGTGTCCGTCTTCAGAAAGATAAAGCTGCTTTGGATAAAGTTAACACTGGGCGACAAGAATCATTCCTGAACTAAGTAGACTCCCATACCAAGAATGGTTCAGGGCCGCAGGGTTAACAGCACTATAAACCAGAAATGACTGCTGATCTCATAGAAACTTTAAAATATTGAACAACTTGGAGGATATTTCTCTAGACCACTTCTTCAAAAGCTCAGATTTAACATAAGGAGCAATGGATTCAAGCTCAAGCCACAATGTACGACAGAAAAATATTTTTTTTTTCGGTCATAGGGTTATAAAACCACGGAATCTCCTATCCACTGAAGCTGTAAATTTCAAAACCCTGCAACAATTTAAGATCCAGGTAGATTTTATCTTGACAAATTGGGGTGAGGGCTTTGACAAGCCACTGGCTTCCTATCAACTCTAGTGGCTTCGACGAGGACAGTAGCCCCCAGGTAAAATTACATGGCCGGTTGCAACCCGTTCTCGCAAATTCGTAAAGTCAATATTGACTTATTAACTACGTGCATAGGTGATATACTAAACATAATAGATACCCCTAAAAAGATTCATAGAAAACACCGACCTTACCTAACCTTGTTAGTATCTTAAGATAAGCATCTTATTGCTTCGTAATTACAATTATTACTTAACCTATACCTATTATAGGTTAGGTAATAATTGTAATTACGAAGCAATAAGATGCTTATCTTAAGATACTAACAAGGTTAGGTAAGGTCGGTGTTTTCTATGAATCTTTTTAAGGGTATCTATTATGTTAAGTATGTCACCTATGCACATATTTAATAAGTCAATATTGACTTATTAAATTTGCGAGAACGGGTTGCACATGTATCCCCACCCCCTGTCTGCCTTCAGACCACACAGCCCCCCCCCCCAAAATGTCTCCCGATGCCCCTTCAAATCATACGAAAACGCATCAATCCACCTTCAAAACATCAATATTTAGACCACTCTAGCATAGGATCAACCAGTATCTAATACAATACAGGTTGATAGTGTTTAACAAATTTGTTTTTCTGAACGTTATTTTTGTATATCTTGCACAACTGCAGTATTTTAATTCCTCATTTACCATGTTGCATTTTGTCCATAACTGCCATATACTGTATCTATATAGGAAACCATTGAATGTACAGATGATATCAAGAAGCACAAATTGTATCAAGATTGGTAACAGTCTAGGTACTGCATTATGATTGATCTCAAATGTATACTTTTACCGTTATGATTGCTATACCAAATGTATCATTTATCTGCACCTTCCATGTGTGTGTATGTGTACACACATTGGTGTGCTTCTTCAACCAAATAAAGTCCTATGTACAATAATTCCAAGAACTGAACTCTTTAGTAAAATATGTTCTCAATAAACACACTGAAGTTTCTAGTTGTTGTAATCCCCTCGTTACTGTGGTCATAGTGCCACTGTAGTCTGTCCTTTTGTGGGTAAACCAGTGCAGGAGGGGGCAGGTAGGTGGTCAGTTGCCTTCCAAGTAAGTAATTATCAAGAAGGCACCAAACCGGGAAGGTTATGTAGCACCATCAAATGTGCGGAATGATCAGAGGGCGCTAAATATCACCAAGGATGCCAATACGAGAACAAAAACGCATAAGGCGAACGATATCAAAAGTATGTCACCAAGAATTCTATTGAGGGACAAATTGCCTTCCAAAATGTAGGCTGAACAGACACCTTACCCCGTGTGGGATTGTGTATCGAAGTCAAGGTAATGCATGTATCTATCAAGGTGTGTAAGGTCGTTGTAACGGACATCAATATTTCGATCATGTATCAGGGGCAAATAGATCATGGCACGTAGCAGCAGGCTAGGGGGGAAACATTCAATTGAGGACAATATGGTTCCCCAGTATGATCAAAAGCTGGAAAGACTGAATATCCCACATCAGTCTATGCTAAGCTAGGTGTTAAATGGGCGCCGTTAGTAAAGTCTGGTTAGTTCTAGACGCACAACCTAAAATTCTGGAAAACTTTGCAGGCATATATGGCCTTAGTGAAAGTCATGTTCGAGGTGACTCAAAAAGTGGCTGGGAACCCAGAAATAATAATAATAAAAAGATTCTACCACCAAATGGAAAGTAAAGTCTTTAGGGCACAGCGAGAAAATAGACAAAAAGAAGGCAAACTTTAAAGCTGTAGTTGATCGCACGAAGTTGTGATGGTGCTGGTCTCCGGGACAGTCACTGAGGTTTCATTAGGAAAACACCAAAGTAGTTAACACTGACCATACAATAGAAGACCAATATGTTTCGGTCCGTCCTGGACCATTATCAAGCAGTATGTCAGGCGACGTTGACTTCACATGGAGGCGAGGGGGGGGGAGATAAGAGCAGTAGAGAGAGCTAGCATAAACTGGAACCTCTAGAGATAACAGGAACAATGTGAGCAGAGAAGTTTCCATCGTGAATGCAGAAAATCTTAACTTACCACCCCGGAGGGAGCCGGTGGCTGAGCGGACAACACTAGACGCGTGATCCTGTGGTCTCTGGTTCGATCCGGGCACCGGCAAGAAAATATGAGGAGTTTTCCACCCTGATGCCCTTGTTACTTAGCAAATAGATACCTGGGAGTTAATCAGCCGTCACGGGCTGCTTTCTGGGGGGGGGGGGGGGGGGGGGGGGGGGGGTGGAGGCCTGGTCGATGACCGGGCCGCGGGAGACACTAAAAGCCCCAAAATAACCTCGAGAAGAACCCCTTTTAGGAAAAATCAAGAGCGTGAGGGAACAAGTCTACTACGGAAAAACACTTTGACCATCCTGAAGGGGCGAGGCGGGGGGGGGGGGAACAGAATGCATCAACTTACAGGACAAGCCAGAGCCTCGAAGACGTACTTTACATCCGCGTGACAGCATTACAGTTCAGATAGTGAAAATCCCCTTGCACCACAAAGCAAGCAACTATCAAAAGAAGTCACCAAACCGGGAAGGCCATGTAGCACCATCAAATGTGCACTACAAAGAGATTAATCAAGGGCTCAAGAGTTAACGTTGGATACAATGGTTAAAATCCCTAGTTTTCCCTCCCATGTGGAGGTGGCATGCATAATTGTTAAAAAAGTAAACCAATCTTTAGTTTTGTTACCGAAGTGCAAACCAAATAATTAGCAAGGTTAATTATGCACGGAAGAATTAGATTGCGGTAATAGCTTTAGAATTAGTGCCGAGGCTGGTACTGTGTATGCGCCATCACTGTTATCCAAAGTCTGGAAAGCTTAAAGGGATGGGGAAAAGAACTTTGCGAGAACCGTAATATAATCAATTAGCGTGCCTAGCTAAGTTGTGAAGCATAATATGCAAGCTATTTAAGTCATCCTTGGCGAGGCAGGTATCTAATCTCGTTATCGGGATCTTTACTGGCTGCTATAGTCAAATTGTTTTTGCGGACCAGAAAAACTAGAACTGTCTTAGATAAAATTTATTGGTACTATATAAAACAAATTCTGTAGTTACACTTTCTGCAGTACAGGTACAAATTTAAAAATACTGGCTTTGTGCCTTTCATAATTAAGACTAAATTTAAAATTTAAAAAAATTAAGTATAAAAACAGCAAGAAGCTAGCACCATGTTAAACCACCTACGGTTTACTTTTAAATTTTATCTAAATTTTATATATTTTATCCCCGATGGTCCTCATCCCTGGTGCCAGGGATCTTTCCTCGGGGCGACCTGCCAGCAGGTTACTCCAGTGGAACGTAGTTACAGAATTGGCAACGCCGCTCCTGCTTGAAGTACATGGCTAACAGGCCCAAGGGAAAGAAGATCACAGCCAAATACTTTGTCCACAACGGGAACACCCGAGTCACATCTCCAATCTGCAAAAAGGAAAAAGTTAAAAACCATCTTGCATGATCCTTCAAGTGTTAATTATTCATCAAGTCACCCTTCCCCATTAAAACAAATTCTTACCCTACAACTCGGGCAGTTCCCATCTCTCGGGACATGGATGGGAAGAATGTTAAAGGGGAAGGGCTGAGAAGAACGTTCCTGCCTCTGTAGATTCCAGAGGCGCGCGGTCTGCTGAAGTGAGCGGCGAAGAAGATCATCTCGAGGGGTGACTAGGAGGTGGGAGAAAAAGAATAATTTCTAATGCGAGAAAAGGTTATTACCAAATTAATCTTTGTATCTTTAGATACTTACACGTAGAGTAATTCGACCTGCGGTTCTCCGATGCAGAAGCCATATGGCAGGCCGCAACTGTAATATTACAAATTTATTAAAACCAAGTAGAAAACAAAGAGCCCTTACAACTTTTTAGTAGATAAAAAAGCTTAAAATCCGTTGCAACATTTGTCACGTTAGTCAGTTACATTCCTACTTAATAATTTACTAGCAAAGAGTTTAGAAGCCAAGAGAACTTCATAATATTGCTTACTTAAAAAAAAAAAAAAAAAAAAAGCCAGAGACTGAAATAATTAAGTGATAATATCTTTGTGGCAACTCCCACCTGTCAGCGTGGGTGACGCTGATAGGCTCTGACGACTGCTCTGTCAACGCCCACTTTTTGCCAGTAAGCTTAATCTATAACGCTTCAGTTACATCAATATCAAACTAAGCTAACCTTGCTGCGCTCTCATTGGAGACATTACCACCAATCAAAACACGTAACTACGAGAAAGTTTCTCTGCGTTAAAGTACAGGTGAAGTCAGTGGGGAAGACCCGGGTGTTCTGACAGCTGCTGGCCGACTCCTGCCCCAAGTAACCTTGTGTGAAGCCTCGAACCAGCCACCGAACCATTCCCGTGTGATTCGTAAAGCAATAAATCATTCTTAACTTTTAATATCTTCATAATTATTCGATACAACGCTTTCATCTGATAAATACCTTACCTGGCCCCGAGTTCATATAATTTATGAATGTTCACTTAATAATTTACAGTATATTCATTTGATGACATATATCAATGTGGTTTGGCTTCTAGTATGATTCAGTGAATCTTTAAACTGGAGTCAGCAACTCGAAGCAAACTGTCCAAGTGTATTTGGCACAGACGTCGCATTATCTTACAAGTTACTGGATTTTTCACATTATATTTGTTAGCATAGATTTTATTTATATACCACAAGGGGTAACCGGTGGTGTCCGGGTCTGTCTCGCCTCCGCTGCCCAACCACTTGGGGTGGACGGTAGAGCGACGGTCTTGCTTCATGCAGGTTTTTTTGTACTTTTACATGCCAAGGCACACGTCATAAATAAAAAAAATACAATAGAAATGGTACAAGAAACAAAGGGCACAGAAGTACCACAACACAAAAGCACAAAACAACAGGTAACGCAATAACTAGCATCAAACAAGAACAAATAATCAAGTACAGGTCACTCCTTAAAACGGAACATTGACAAGGACAACCTCGGACAAACAGATATTTCTATTTTTATAGATTTATGGTAAGTGCAGCAGGTGTAAAAATTCATCATTTAGAAGAGAATCTTATATCTATTCCAAATGCACCTGGGCAGTTTGCTTTGTTTTGCTGACGGCAGTTCACGGTCACTCGATTCACAGTCATACTGGAATGGAAAACACATCGTATGTATATACTGTCTGTGTTATTAAGTGAACATCTTAAGTGATATGAAATCGGGGCCAGGTACGGTAATTATCCAAAGGATGCGTTGCATCTAATAATTCTGAAGACATTATAAGCGAAGATAGATTTATTGCTTCACGAAACACATGGGAATGGTTCGGTGGTTGCCTCGAGGCTTCACACAAGGTTACTTGGGGCAGGAGTCGGCCAGTAGCTGGCAGAACACCAGGGTCTGGTTCATCAATTACTACCTTCCTCTGACGCAGAGATTGTTCTCGTAGTTCTTTTGCTACATTGAGGAGTGTTGTGATAGGTATTCGGGATGGCACCGGTTGGAGCTCAGTATGGTAAGATAAAAGAATTAAAAAGTAGGTGTAGTACTTGTGTTAATGTTATTACATGCTTTTATAACATTTAAATTTCTTAAATTTGGTTAAATTTCTTATTTTCTTCGTAAATTGTTTAAGCAAACTTTTAACTTTGATAAATTGAGCACTACGACAACTTCATGAGTGTCTTGGTTGCAAATTACTTAATTGCTATATAAAAGGACAATTGGTTAGTCTAACCTTTTTTTCTTTTCAACTTTTGCAGTTCCAGCCTACCGCATGGCCTCGGGCTCTTCAAGCCGCAGGTCGGAACATGCCCGCTGTAAGTACCTCAAATTAATTGGTCACTTTGTTTATACTTTTCACTCTAGGAAAATTAAAGATTTTCTACTCTTCTAGTGCATCCACTCGCTCGTCCTGGGCGCGCCACTGCCCACAACTACAGCAGTATGGACACGGGAGGGCCTGGGTTGACTGATCTACTGAGCCGCCCCTCTGAGGGAGCCTTCGTAAATATGCCACGGGATGGCTCTTGCCCACGGTGTGGGGTAAGTGCTTTATGTTCTCCTGTATTCAAACCTGTACACTTGAATCGTCGTAACTTCGGTTAATTATTGTCTTTAATGTTTCATTCAAACAGCTTGGTGACATTACCCGGGTGTTTCCTCTGTGGAGTAAGTGCGTAGCCTGCTTCTGCTTCCCCCTCGGCCTGATAGCCCTCTGCTTCAGTTACGAGGACCGTTGCTCTGCTTGTGACTACGTCTCGCCCCAATAAGGCTGAAATGACCGTCCAGTACGGTGCAACTGGACGGTTTTCCCCGAAAGATGCTTGAAACAAAGGCTCTTGTTGGACCGTCGGGATGATAAAAAACAAAATGGATAAAATTTAGTGTTTAGGGCTCTCATTTTAAGTAAATCTCTTGACAAAGTCTTAAATTTTTATTGAACTATAACTTTTTAAATTTTATTGTATGAATTTTAAACTTCTGCTTTTTGGCTCTGTACACAATAAATTTTATCTAAACTGATGTCTTTTACTATCATACTAAACTATAAATTGGGCTCGAGTTTCCTGGGCGTTTAAACTTAAATGGCAACCAATCTTAAATAAACCTAGGCTGAAATCTGATTGAAATTCACTCCATAAATCTTGGCTGGCGTAAATGTTGCTCCAACACACCTGCCTAAATCTCTCACAACTGGCAGGAACGTTGCCTGAAACTCTTATTAGGCTTGAATGTTGGTTTATTTAACCTATTTGACCACCTAACCCATGCAATCTCTCTCTCTCTCTCTCCACAAGCTTATCATAACAAATATCATACATGGACACTAATTGTCTAACAGAACCTGCTGTCTAGTTTACTTTGCACATGTTGTTCATTAACATTTCCAGGGTTGCCTTTGAAAAGATGAGGTACCCTAGAGCAGGTAGGTGTTGCCTGGGCGCGCCCTCTGGCCGCTGCAGGCGGTAGGAAGTTTTGGTATTGTTAGTCATTAATATTAAGGGAGCCGAGCGGACAGCACGCTGGACTTATGATCCTGTGGTCCCGGGTTCGATCCCGGGCGCCGGCGAGAAAAAATAGGCAGTTTCACCCTATGCCCCTGTTACCTAGCAGTAAAATAGGTACCTGAGTGTTGGTCAGCTGTCACGGGCTGCTTCCTGGGGGTGGAGGCCTGGGCGAGGACTGGGCCGCGGGGACACTAAAGCCCCGAAATCGTCTCAAGATAACCTCAAGAATACTCCGGCAGGAGGGGTGGGGGGGGGGGGAAGGGATGGTTTTGAAGTCTGCCATAGTCCTTTATGCAACTGCCGAACCCCTGTTAATGGGAAAAACTGTTTGCACACCACTAGACATAACTTCCCGGTTTGATGCCTTTTTGATAATTACTTGTACACCACTCTAAAACTGTTTACGTTCGAACTCTTTTTTTTTTTTTTTTTTTTTTTTTTTTTTTTTTTTTTTTTTTTTTTTTTTTTTTTTTTTTTTTTTTAGAGATATATACAAGAGTTGTTACATTCTTGTACAGCCACTAGTACGCGTAGCGTTTCGGGCAAGTCCTTAATCCTATGGTCCCTGGAATACGATCCCCTGCCGCGAAGAATCGTTTTTTCATCCAAGTACACATTTTACTGTTGCGTTAAACAGAGGCTACAGTTAAGAATTTGCGCCCAGTAAATCCTCCCCGGCCAGGATACGAACCCATGACATAGCGCTCGCGGAACGCCAGGCGAGTGTCTTACCACTACACCGCGGAGACTGCAAAACTCTTCCGGAATAAGAGCTTCATTAACGAATTTTGTTCGTCCTACAACGCTATAAATGCTTCATCCACGTACTAAAAACGACGGCAAACATAACCTAAACGCCTATATATGCACAATATGATAAATTATTTGAGGATTTTTGAATGAACATGTTAAATTTATGAATGCGTCTGTGGGTTCGACCGCTGGATGTAATGGCCTAGTCTGAGTAAGAGTTGCCCACGTACTAGAAATAATTGCAAATAGAACCTAAACGCCTAACCAATGCCACATGCTAATGGGATGAAGTTTAGGCTTTGTATAGACTTGAGGCGGCAGGTAGGAGCTTGAAGGGTGGAAATGTGTTGGTCTTGAACCTATGCCTCAGATGGCGGAAGAAAGGAATATGGGGAAACTTGAACTAAGTCAGGGAAGAAGAGTGCGATGTAACGCACATGCAACAAGGTACAGCCCTCTTCTGTGCCAGGTAAGTCCACTATGGGCTCACCATAACCCGTTCTACTTTAAACGTTTTGTTCAAAGTAGCAGAATCTAAACCGGCACACGCAAAATCTTTGATTGGTAAAGGTTATAAATCCAAATGTTCTTGTGAATGCTGTTCGGACATCCTCTTGGTATCGAAAACAACCATAAGGGTTAGTGCTGACTTTTTTTAGTAAATACATTGGGGTATAAATATCAGTTGTCAGCACTCAAATCGTTATAAATATTGAAGTTATTGGCTCAGGAGCAGAGTTTGAGGCGGGTAGTTGGCTTGGAGAGCAGGACCACAACAAGGTTGTTGATCCTTCCCAGGGCGGGTAATAGGACACAAGGGATATTTATAATTAATTTCTACCACTGAGGTGGCCACACATTTACAATGCTAACCAGCATTTATACAATTTTTTCTGTCCTCCATGGAAAAGGCTAGAGATCTCTTAAAAACATATAAATTAGTGATTTATTGAACAATCAACCACAGTACGTGATTGTAGCGCGTTTAAAATGCTAAGCTAACCAACAAACATAACCACACAGATTTACGTCTGTCCTCTTGGTGACTCGGATACTTTCGATATCGTTCGCCTTATGCGTTTTTGTTCTCGTATTGGCATCCTTGGTGATATTTAGCGCCCTCTGATTATTCCGCACATTTGATGGTGCTACATAGCCTTCCCGGTTTGGTGCCTTCTTTTGATAATTACTTACTTACGTCTGTCCTACATAAACTGTACGAGGTATAGTGTCATTAATGTGCGTTTACAAAGGAGACACAAGGGAGTGGAAGGCTCGAGAATTCTCGTGTCTAAAAAGAGCCAAAATCTCTCTCCAGTATTACTAAAAGTACTGCACATGATTATAGGAAATCAAAGTAATTCGTCCTAGTGAGACATAGTAACTGTGTAGTTAAATGTGCTGCTGGCTAATGAAAGATTAATTGATATTATCAAACTTGCATCATTAATGAACCATCTATTGACCCCACAGACTGTACTGACCCCTTTTGACCTTCAGTCATTTATCAACCCCTTGGATAGTACCATCGACTCTTGGGGTCAATATTGATAATTTTTTGAGGCCCGAGACTAAACTGTATTGTGGATGCCCAGCTGTGACAACAAAAACAAATAGTCTCCGTGGTGTAGTGGTAAGACACTCGCCTGGCGTTCCGCGAGCGCTATGTCATGGGTTCGTATCCTGGCCGGGGAGGATTTACTGGGCGCAATTCCTTAACTGTAGCCTCTGTTTAACGCAACAGTAAAATGTGTACTTGGATGAAAAAACGATTCTTCGCGGCAGGGGATCGTATTCCAGGGACCATAGGATTAAGGACTTGCCCGAAACGCTACGCGTACTAGTGGCTGTACAAGAATGTAACAACTCTTGTATATATCTCAAAAAAACAACAACAACAACGGTGTCCAAGCTGCTGTTGTTGATTTAGAGGCGAGGACGATCGGATGCGCCGCGGCGTACCCGTGAAGGGTTAATCGCGAAGCCTAGTGGCGAAATGAATGCCGCTTATCAGCGGAAACTAATGTGCCTAGTGGCCAATAAACACATAGGCAGACAGATGACTGGGGAGCCTCAGGGTGACGAGCACCGCCCCGCCCCGCACAGAGAACACTGGGTAGCAAAACCAAAAACTCGGCCCCCAACTAAAACGCCGTCATCCAGTGCCCTCCGGCAGAGCAGAAGCCGGCCGCCCACCACGACTGAGGCAACCCGTTCTCGCACTTTCGTAAAATCAATATTGACTTATTAAATACGTGCATATGTGACATACTAAACATATTAGTTTACCTTGAAAAGCTTCATAGAAAACACCGACCTTACCTAACCTTGTTAGTATGTTAAGATAAGCATCTTATTGCTTCGTAATTACAATTATTACTTAACCTATACCTAAAATAGGTTAACTAGTAAGTAATAATTGTAATTACGAAGCAATAAGATGCTTATCTTAACATACTAAGAAGGTTAGGTAAGGTCTGTGTTTTCTATGAAGCTTTTCAAGGTAAACTAGTATGTTTAGTATGTCATATATGCTCGTATTTAATAAGTCAATATTGACTGTAAGAAAGTGCGAGAACGGGTTGACTGAGGGCACATCAGGAGCCCACCAACTCCTGGCACATCCCGGCCAAGCCGGCGCCAGACACCGGCATCCCGGCCGAAGAATCAGTCTGAATGCGTTCAAAATCTATAAGCTATCTTGTGACCCAAGGCGATATGTGCGTCAGGCGTTGTAACAGTACGAACCATTGAATAGGAATTCCAAATGGCAGAATCAAAATCCAAAAGTGCCAAACAGAACGTGATCCGGCGGCTCCCAGGCGGAGCTGGGATATCCAGACGTCCACCCGTCGTCAAGGCTGAACCAGGAACCCGTGTCCAAGCTTGTATTACAAGAACAACAACGTATTCCAGCTACGTCTACAGCAAAAAGAGCAAGGTAAACAATTTAAAACTGTACACCTATGCGAATTTGATGTGTTTATAATTAGTTAATGCTTTAATCTGAAAAATCTCATCATTTATAAGACAATCCAACGTCTGTGCCAAATGCATTTGGGCAGTTTGCTTTGTTTTGCTGACGGCAGTTTAATGATTCACCGAGAGTTTCATACTGGAAGGCAAAACACAATGATATATGTCATCAAATGATATACTGTATATTAATACGTAAACATCTTAAGTGATATGAACTCTGGGCCAGGTAAGGTAATTATCAGATGAAAGCGTTGCATCTAATTATTACGAAGATGATAGAAGCAAAGACTGATTTATTACTTTACGAATCACATGGGAATGGTTCGGTGGCTGCCTCGAGGCTTCACACAAGGTTACTTGAGGCAAGAGTCGGCCAACAAACGGCAGAACACTCGGGCTTGGTTTACCGATTACTGCTCTCTTGTGACTCAGGGATTCTTCTCGCAGATATCTATTTGTTGCATAGAGGAGTGTAGGAAAGTATTCGGAATGCCACCGGTGGGAGGACATTCGGGTAAAGTATATTCCGGTGTTATCAGATTCTTAGGCAATGAATTGATTAGTTTCAATGGTTAATTGTGGACTTTTTTCTTCTAGGGGGGGCTGCTAAAATATTCCTTTGATCCTAAACTTTAAATTTTTTTTACTCCAGTTGCGGCTGGCCGCGTAGCTTCTGAAACGACACGCAGTCAGATTGACTATGCCCGCAGTAAGTTTACTTCCTTATTTTTTTCCTGTTCTAGTAAACACAGCTTACTGAAAGTTAAAATTTTAATTTTTTTCTCCCCAGTATATGCTCGCACTCACCCTAGGGGTCCGTCCCCCTTCAATTCCCGCACTCCACTTGTGGAAAGGCCTGAATTGATAAACGCACTTCATCTCCCCTTTGAAAGGGTCCCTGTCAGTGTCGAGAGGGACGGCACATGCCCCCACTGCGGGGTAAGTACATCATAACTCTTTATAAAATCTCTTCATGGGTACTCTGGCTTCAATATTTAATAACCCTTTTCTTCGTCAGCTCGATGACATGACCAGGATGTACCCTACTTGGAGCAAGATTGCCGCCTGCTTGCTCTTCCCCTTCGGCCTGATGTTCATGTGCTTCAATTATGAAGACCGCTGCCCCACTTGCAACTACCTTTCTCCCAGGTAGAGGGGCAGCTGGTCCTGGCTAGCCGGAGTGAGGCTGGTCAGTCTCCCTGAGGAGGTCCCTGGAAACGGGGATCACGAGGACCATCAGGGTTAAGGCATGTCAAAGGACCCGAATCTTCTGATTTTTAGAACAGATTGGTAGCAAAACCTGTTGCCTGATTTTTAGTGTTAATACTTTTAATTGCATTGTCAGTGTTTTAATTCTACTACAGACTAGTTTCAGCTGTCTGGTTCTTGACTTGTCTTAATAAAAAAATATAGATAAATCCTTTTGTATATCTACCTTTGCTTCTTATAATATGGAGAGCTATTACATGGAGACCCCCTTCATTCAAATGCCAGCCTGTTTATTTTGAATTTATGCACTTAAAATTCTTACCTCCTAAGGGATAAATGGCAAATTAACAGTGTAGACTGCCCTGAAAGTCATTAAAATGACTTTCTAATGTTGTTTAGCGTCAGAGTTCTAGTTATGAGTGTTGGGTAGAAAATATATTTGATAACTTCTGGAAGCTCTGTAAGAGTCAAGGTACAAGTTCTTCTACTTTAAAAGCCAGGCTTAAGAGCTTAAACCAGGCTGAAATTTCAGTGGCACAACTACAGTAAGCTGGCAGGGTTGCCAGATCAAAATTGCTAAAAGTAGCGAGCTGCCGGTCAAACAGTAGCGAATTTGCAAGTAGAGTAGCCCAAATTTTTAGTCAAATCAAATGTTTATTCAGGTAAAAGTACATACAATGTTAGATTTTAAGATAGCGACAGTACACACAGACAGACAACCAAAAATACCAAGTTTATCTTCCTTCTTTGATAGAACAGACTTTATGCTCATCTGCTGATGACTTGCCTCCGATATATTTTGTCTGCGTTTTAATGTTTCACTTTCTTTAAATCACTTCTATGAGCTCTTATCTCGGTTCTACAAACTTTACAATGCTTTATTTCCATCTTTCACTTCAGCCAACCACTTTCCAAATACGATCCTTAAGCCAGGACATCTGAAACGCTTCCTGGTATTTAGACCACTTCCCCATTTTACACTTCTTTATCTTAACACTTAAGCAAAGTCTAAAAGTAACAGCGGTAACTTCTTTTCTATATGCGGTAACTTGTGTCGAACTATCCTTCTGGAGGTCAGAGCCACACTAACAATGAAAGCACAGATGAAGCTGCAAAGTTCACCATGTTAATTCCGCTCTAACGACAGTCATTTGATTCTTGGAAACACCTAAAGAGAAGCCTAATATTTACAGTGGGAGGACACTTAACATAGACAGTACCCGGGATGAAGTATTAATGACAAGGTTGGGAAATCTAGCCCCTGGGGAGGATTATCTTGCCTTGCGATTACTTTTTCTTTGGGAAGTTCCTAGGATCAACGTCCCCAGGGGGTCTGTCTCTGACCTGGCCGCCTGCGGTAAGTGGTCTATTCAATCAAGCTGTTGGACGCGGCTGTGATTTGTACACATGACAGCATAAAAATCATTGAGTTTAACATTAATAGCCCAACCTGTTTTTGAAGTAGCCTAAAAAGTAGCAAAAATAAAAATGGGAGCGCGGGGCTCTGAAAAGTAGCCCAATCTGGCGAGTCTCAAGAGTGCTGGATAAACTAAGTTTTTGCCAGTTTTATACTTGCTGGGAGCATGTGGTAATGGACTTTAAGAGGTACCATAAACATACCATTATGCTTCACTGGCTCTTAATTTCCCATGTTCCCTCTAGTATAATTTAACTGTGCTTGATACTCAACTTTAGGTGCTTTATCGTCTCTTCCGTATGCAAAGTGTACAGAACAATCTCTTGCCTTAAAGGTGTCTAGCAGTGAATAAACTAGGAACATTGGAGTGTGCTTTGAGTCTTAGTATAACATTCCTGCTTCTTGGTACTATCTACCATTTAATAGCTGAAGTTACCGACTGGTAGGTTTAGTGAGCTATTTAATGAGGTTTTGTTTGCATCTTGCCTCTAATCTTATTAGCCGACGGTAACTACCACCCCTTACTAGCTGTCCTTCCCTTCATTCCTCTAGTCCCTTGGGAGAAACTTGCTCTAACGTTAAATTAACATGGTCAAATATAGGGACATCATGGACAAACAAATTAATTTCAGTCACTAAATACGGGTCTACCCTGACCATCGCCACAGCGCCGTGAATTTACCATCTTCGTACCCAACCATAACTGCTTTCTGGGACCAATTGTCACCAACTTTCAATAAGTGGCCATTGATCAGCTTTTAGAGAAATCTAGAAGTCTGGAAAATAGTATATGGCTCGTTGAAGCCACCTTGCACCAGAAAACACTAGGAAACATCTCCATAGATCTGCAGGGACGAAGCTGATAATTCCAAATGAGTTCAGTGGTATTTGAAGTGAAAGTAAAATTTTTAAATGGGGGAGGGTTCTTAACTTCATTTCCTTAAGGTAGGCACAATGTAAGTGTCCAGGCACTTTTCCGATATTGTTCACTGTACCTGTATGCTTCAGAGTTCTCTGAACTCAATGTTTGAATTTTAAAGCTTTGACTTTGCTGGGTACTCTGCCATATTTAGGTTTTTGAAACTTTAAATACCACCACTACGGTCAGTCATACTTTGCCAATTTCCCCCAGGGGAATATTTCCCTTTAACCCAGTTAGCCATCTGCAACCTTTCGAGAGGCTGTCAAGTCGACATTGTCACAAATTCCACAATTGCGGTGCCGTATCCAATGTTTTTCACCCAACCACTAGAAATGGTTAACGACTTTAGCCAGTTTGTATATCAAATCCAGGCGTACTTAACTTTGGTGCCAAAGTTAACAATATATTATAGTTCTGTCAGACAAGTAGCCTACTAGTTCAATTTATTACATCTGTTAAGGGACCAGATTTAAGCCGAAAATCAGGCTTTTCTTTAGAACGTTAGTAGGAACAGTTTACAATCTCATATGGTTCATTAAAAATTAAAAACAAATCAGATAAAATTTATTAAAATTTACATTAAAACTACACAGAACAGAACCGAAGTCAAAAATTTAAAAAACAGATTTAAAACTTTAAAAATGCGCGAGACTTTAACAAGTTTTAAAACCATCTCAAAGTTAAAAGTGCGGCAAAGTGCTGTCAGCGTCGTCACCGTCCGCCCGCCTGACGTAGCCAGGTGATAACGTTGGTGAACAGTATATCTAAAAAATTTTATCCAATCATCCCGAGGGTTCCAAAGGGCTCCCGTCACCCCCCTCGGGGCTGACCTGCCGCTCACGATCGGACGTGGTCAGTCTATGGAGCTAGTTGCTTGCAGACATCGCAGATGTCTTGCGGGTTAGCTTCCAGACCCAGCTGGCAGACGGGCCGAAGGCGCGCCGCATTGCACCCGTTGCCCAGCGAGAACATCCAATACACTGCACTCTACGGGCAAATATCGGATGAAATTTTCAGTCAAATTAAATCTGTTTAAATTAGCATTTCAGATTATGCTCGAGAACTAGTTACTAGAAGTTAAACTAGCGTCCTTACCTCCCAGGCACATGTCGTCCCTTCCTGAGGGGGATAAGGAGAAGGGCTGGTGACCAGGTTACCTCTTTTTAGGAGAGCAACTTCGCGCTTCAGGACATGTCTAGGACGGGAAGTCGAAGTCAACAAAACGCGACTGTTGCCTGCACGCAAGAAAAAAGAAACAAGAATTAAGAAGTCAAAATTGAGTGGCTAGAGTTATTAGTTCTCACACAAAGTACTTACCGTGCGAAATGTCTGGCCTGCCATCGTTGGCAGCATCAGAGGCCGTACGGGCAGCCACAACTAGAAGAGATTTAGGAAGTTTTAGTTTATCTAGAAGCTGGAAATAAAGTTAAATTACCATTTTGCTGTTTGAGTCAATGTTTACTCTAGTTAAAAAAAACTAAACTTGTACGGGCCATAGACTACCAACAAGTAAACACAGCTGATAAAGTTAAGAGACTCGTGAAGGAGCCAAGATACTGCCCAGGTTAACAACATTTTAATGGCACATTCCGTGCCGGGCCACGTGGAATCTAGCAAGATTTAACCGATTTGGTGGAAAGTTAATGATTATTTTCCTAAAAAATTACTTTCTGGGTTACTTCCTGTACAAGACTAATTTGGCTAGTTTTCTGTAGTGGAAATAGAGTACAGAATGTTAACCGCAGCTCAATTGCCATGGGGATAAGAACTCTAGGATAATTACCATTTGTGTAAATACTAAGTCCGTCGCTCCTGCACTAGACTAACGAGTATATATATATATTTTTTAACCTAGAAGTAAAACAAACCACTTTAAAGCTATTTTAAAACAAACCTTGTTTGACCCTAAGCATTGTCTTGACCCCCCAAACACTCTTCCAGCCAACAAAAGATATCTAAGAAAGACACAACTGAGCCAGAGAAGAGACACAGTCGACGCGATGCTAACAGGTGTTCTGCTAGCTGCTGGCCGACTCCTGCCCCAAGTAACTTTGTGTGAAGCCTCGAGGCAGCCACCGAACCATCCTCACGTGATTCGTAGAGCAATAAATCAGTTTTTACTTATAATATCTTCATAATTATTAGATGCAACACTTTCATCTGATAATTACCTTACCTGGCCCCGAGTTCATATCACTTAAGATGTTCACCTAATAACACAGACAGTATATACATTTGATGAAATATATAAATGGGTTTTGGCTTTCGGTATGAAACACTCTCAGTGAATCTTTAAACTGCCGTCAGCAAAACCAAGAAAACTGTCCAAGTGCATTTACTTTTTACTATTCACTTGGGAATGGTTCGACATCTACTTCGAAGCTTTAGACGTTTATTTGGGGAAGAGCCGGTCAGGAACTGACAGATGACCTGATTGTGTTCTCGTCAGTGTGTTCGTATTCTGATCCAGACATTGATTATCTCAGAGTAACACTTGGGACAATGTGGGAGGAACACGAACGTTAGTTGTGTATTTTGTCTGTATTTCGTTAGTTATAGTTTCCACGTTTGCTGACGTTCGTTATTTAAAAGTGTACGTGGTATTATATATAACTTTCAAAGTCTAGCTTTCTGGTATATTTTAAGTTAAATTTTTTGTTTTGTTTTAAACCGTTAAGGTTAAAACCTTATTAAGTTCAGAATAACGCATCTGTAATTTGTCAAACTTTAATTTGATATTAGTGCTTAGATGGGTAAAGGTATTCATGCCTGTATATTTTATTGACACGTTTTTAATGTTTAATATCCGACCATAATTTTACAGTGGAAGAAACCTTTTCTTTGGCCGACCGCAGAGCTGAATATGGAAGCTGTAAGGATACGTTGCTTGCTTTAGTCTCTTAAACTTTCACTCTTTTTACTTCTAACCTGTGAACTGATACTCTCGTGTTCTTCCAGCAAAGGATAACGTGATTCTTTCTGCCGCTTTCCCGCAAGGTAAACCCGTTCGGCTGGGAACTACTCCCATCGAGATTGGGCGTAGAAAAACAAAACAAAAAATTGAACTTAAAATATACCAGAAAGCTAGACTTTGAAAGTTATATATATTACCACGTACATTCTTAAATAACGAACGTCAGCAAACATGGAAACTATAACTAACGAAATACAGATCAAATGTGGAACTAACGTTCGTGTTCCTCCCACATTGTCCCAAGTGTTACTCTGAGATAATCAACGTCTGGATCAGAAAAGGCTCACGAGAACACAACCAGGTCATCTGGCATCCCTCTACTATCGTGTTGTTACTTAACTTGATATCCATTCAGCGGTATCTCGCGCTGATAACTATCCCAATGCTGAAGCTTGGGTTTCTGCAAGATATCTCTACTTTGCACGTCTTCTTGCACCTGGTGGAGCTTTCGTAGCTGTTGTTGACGCAGATTCTGCTGCCGCCATCCCTAGGACAGGGACATGTCCCTAGGACGGGGAAATGTCCCAATTGCAAGGCAAGGTTCCTAGCTAGGTTTTAACTTCATTTCTTCCTATTTTAACTGTACTGCAAATCCTCTTTAGTTAAGATATCTATTTAAAATAAGTGTTCAAATTAAACAATTATTTCTGTATAATGCTAAAAGGCTAAATCTTTCTCTAGATAGGTAATGTGTCCCGGAGCTTCAACATGTGCGGGCTGCTGTCCCTGTGCTGGAAGCCTGAGAGATGTCGGGTGTGTGGCCACGTCATCACCAGCGAAGAGTAGCCAGCGCTTAGACTAGCTACCTACCAAAACCCTGCGGAAGATGCCTTGTATACATAGGTATACATGGGTATACTTGGGGACCCACGGGGAGAAAAAACAGAAAATTGCGTAATTTTTTAATGGTGCCGAGGAACGCCTTGATTTGCTTGGCTTTTTTAGCCTAGCGGGTGGAGACAACAGCAGCATGTTGGGACTTTTTTTATGATTTTCTTTAATGCTTATCTATAGGTTTTAGGTTATGACTTAAGACTTTGGTTGATTTTTATTCATCAGGCTGGACAGATTTGTGAAAGTACTATTAAATTTTTATTCAAAATAACCTGTTTTTTACTGATACTACCGGTCGAAAGGTACTTTGAATCAATACCTAAATTTCTTAGGGTAATTCTTATCATAATTTAAATGACTTTGTCGAATAAAATTTCATTATTTAGTGTTGAAACTCTTAAAGGTTAATGGGTGTATAACAGCAGACCTTAACAGCCGTTTGGATCTGACTACCTGCTGCAGTCGCCTTAGTCTCACAAATGTGCCTTCATCAGCCAGGTGTGAACAGGGGGGGGGGGGAGGTGCATAAAGTTCTTTTGCCCCAATCTCTTGCTTGATGTGATGGCACAGAAGTGTTCCGCTAATCTTTCTTGCCACCCATCAATTTGTCGTGCATGGAAACAGTCCATTGTGCATCCCTCTAGCCGTAGATGGTGGGGCGGGGGGGGGGGGGGGGATTGGGTAAAATTAAGAGGTCAGACTATCTGATGGATTTAGTCGGGTCAGTGATATCTTTTAGACTGTTGCAGGGTAGTGAACAAAAATTTCTGGTTAGTGTCCAGCATTTTACCTGGAAGATTCTCCCGTCACAGAGGGAGTCTCCCCTTCTGGCTCTCCTGCTCCGGCTGTTGGAACCAGACCCTTTTTTTCCGCCACGCCTTAGATTTCTCAACCGCCTGTGTCCCAGACAGTGGCTATTGTCCCACTGGTAACTTTACTTACTACTGATAGTCTTGAAACCTTTGCTTCTTCGCAATGTCCCTTTCTAATATATTTCGGGTCGCTAGAAACTGAAATTCTTGATCGTAACAATTTTATTATCTTATGTACTGCAACCTCTTAGTCAATTGACAACGTCCTATCCAGTTCTGTAGATTCCATCCAGTGTGGGCGAGGCCATGGTTTGGTCCTCTACAGGTGGAATAATACAAGCATAGTTTCATTGTTCAGTCCCATATTACAACAGGGGATTAAAATTGGCAGGCGACAAAGCCACTTTCAGGTCCTTTGTTACCCCTTTTTACTGTGACATCTAAGTCACTTTCAGGTTGACTAAATAACCATGCCATCCCGTACCTGGTAATTCTTGCTAGTAAGGTGTTACTGTATTAAGCAGGACGCTTAAAGAATTTATGCTAAAGTTCAAACGGCCCATCCTAAATCTGAAAGAATGTATACCAAGGCGAGACGCCTTAATGTTTACTCTAGCAGGACAGTTCTTGCAGCATGTCTGCTCTTTAGACTGCAGAACCTCTAATTCCGGACCCGACCTTCATGCTCAACCTCTGCAGTGACTTGTTCCATCCTAGTCCTGTCCTGAAATAAATTCAGCGTTTCCCCAGACTACTTCCCTTCCATGCGAGCTCTTCTGGTTACAGGAAAAAGATTGTGTGTGGGGGGGGGGGGGCTGACAGTCATGACACTTTACCATTGAGGCAGTTGTCAACATTTGCTCCATAAGGATGCCAGTAGGAAAAGCACAAAACGAGCAATATGGTTCGAATCCTATCAAAGAATACTTTACCTCTAGGGACGTAAAAGATATACGATAGTCAGCTTTTCAGGACAGTCATATATTGCTTTCGTCAAAGTTGCACGATTAAGTGCGACAATGAAACTCCGCCCTGACCTTTGTCCAAGTTGCAAAGTGCCAGAGTTATGCTTGTACGGACAATTTCCCAGTCTTATCATGGGAGGAAAGCCAAAGGGATAGGTTACTTTTTAAAGTGCCGTTACCTGTAACCCTGACTCCCAGCGGTGTGAGAAATGACATTCTATATTCAGATTACTACCCAGTTAGCCCTTTCCAGGCGGCAGATGTAAGTTTAATCAGTGAAGACAACAGCTGAAGACTTCAACCCCATATCTGTTAATAGGACAAATGGAGCGCGAAGTAGCTTAACGGGAAAGTAGTTCCATGACAGGATGCAAGTTGAAGCAGTTATCCTGTGCATAAAGAGCTTTCTGAACAGTGCAAGTGGGACCATCTATGGTGACAGGGTTTGAACAAGAGAACCTTGAGTGAATCTCGCAAGGGACTTCTTACAGGTAAAGGCGACTAGAGGGATCAAGACCTACCCGAGGGGTAATCTTCAAAGCATGGCACAAGACACTGTTGAAAATCATGGGAGGTCTGCAAAGGCAGTAACAATCCTATAGACAGTAGGCCACTTTAAACAGTAGGCTCCTACCAAGCGCTTGAGTTCCTGTTCTAGATGCGTAGTCTAGTATGGTACTCTAAAACAATCTAGACATTTTAAATTTACCGAGTGGAGACTTATCTTTACCCTGGCATCATATACACGAACGGGGCAAAGTAATCAGTGCAGCCTAGTAATGCTAAACAATCTGCATCACTATCATATATTCAACCCAAGGGATGTGTGCACACAAGGTTCAGTGGGAAGCCACCTGCATGGTTGCAATTCGAGAATTGCTAGCAACTGCTTCAAGCCTACTTCTACAGGCCGACCCTTCAGCAGTAGGAATCTGATTCCTCAGTGCGATGAGTACTGATCAACTGTTCCCTGCCCAAGCTGTAACGGAAGGAACTTCCTTTGAGATCCTCCGTAGATACAAGTTATGAAACCTCATCAAGCAAAGCAGATGTACAGGGTTCTAACATTCCATTTTTATTAAAGGGCCGAAATCTAGAGAAACTTTGAGCCCAAGTTTTACATCAACGTCATCATGACCATTAAAGATTTCACAGTTATGTTTTTAAGTTGTCCGCATTAGTGTTCGGGTAGAGAAAGAAAGTCATTCGATAAAATTTAATAAAAAGTATATTAGACACTTCGACCGAAGTAAAACATTTAAGAAGTTAAAAATTTTATGAAATGCCGGTAGTTTCCAGCATTAAGTTCTGCGTTCTAAAATACTGTCAATTAAAATTTATATATTTTTTAATCCCCTCGGGTCCCTATGGGCCACCATTGAGCAATTAATTTGGTAAGCCACCCTCGGGTCAGTGTCGAGGTCCACTACTGACCGGGAGTAGTGTAGTTACAGATGGGACAACGTTGCTCTTGACTGAAGCACAGGTCTATCAGGCAGGTCGGCAAGAGTAGAAGCACTGGACACCTGAGCCACACGTTGAAGTCCCGGGACAAGTCCCCAATCTAAGAAATTAATTGCAGCAAGATTAGCAACAGTATATCTAAAATTATTAGGAAGCAGGAAAGACCAATATTGTTGGAAACCAGAAAGCATATTTAACGGGACTTCTAAAAAACTGTTACAGCCTACCATGACAGGTACGAATAGTAAAGAATCTCACCTGACATCTAGGACAAGTCCCTCTCCTAGGGAGGGGGTAGAGACGGATGGAGGCCTGTGGAGCCTCACGCCTCGGTACGTGTCCAGAGCTAGGAGCAACTAGAGGGGTGGTGATGGTGGCTGTAGAGAAAAAATTACGCGTATAAAACATAGCTACAACCTTTGAAAAGCGTTAGATCAAGTTAAAGATCATAAGTCCTAACGTATCATTGCCAAACTAGTATAACGTGGAAATTGTTAAACTTCAAACATTTTTGGCAAGTAACCAAAACAAAAGATTAAACACATTTACCCCATAAAACCTTAACACTTAAAAGTCAACGTTATGAAACAATACAATTCGTAAACTCTTTACTACCACACATTAGTCAAAATATTAATCACAAACCTTGAACGTCGCTCATGGTTATTACCGAAAACAACGTCTGCGTCAATAAAAACGTACAGCCTGAGTAAGGAAGTAGAGTGCTCTGCCAAGTGCTGGCCGACTCCTGCCCCAAGTAACCTTGTGTGAAGCCTCGAGGCAGCCACCGAACCATTCCCATGTGATTCGTAAAGCAATAAAACAATTTTTGCTTATAATATCTTTATAATTATTGAATGCTTTTATCTGAAAATTATCTTACCTGGCCAAGAGTTCATATCACTTAAGATGTTCACCTAATAACACAGACAGTATATACATTTGAAGAAATATATAAATGGGTTTTGGCTTTCGGTATGAAACACTCACAGTGAATCATTAACCTGTTGTTTAAACCATCAGCAAAACCAAGCAAACTGCCCAAGTGCATTTACTTTTTACGAATCACTTGGGAGTCGTTCGACATCTACTTCGAAGTTTCAGACGTTTACTTGGGGAAGAGTCGGTCAGAAACTGACAGATGACCTGGTTGTGTTCTCATGAACGTGTTCGTCTTCTGATCCAGACATTGAGTATCTCAGAGTAACACTTGGGACAATGTGGGAGGAATACGAACGTTAGTTGTGCATTTTATTTGTATTTCGTTGATTATAGTTTCCATGTTTGATGACGTTCATTATTTAAGAATGTACGTGGTATTATATATAACCTTTAAAGCCCAGCTTATTTGGACTTTTCAAGTCTTAACGCTTAAAAATTGAAAGAATATTAAGGTTAACCTTATTACGTTCACAATTGAGTGTAATTTATCAAAACCTGTTATTAGTGTTGGGATGGAAAAATATTTACGCCTGTATTTATAGAAAGATTTTAATGTTAGTATCCGACCATTATTTTACAGTAGAAGAAATCCCTTCTGTAGCAGAACGCAGAGCTGCATATGGCCGTTGTAAGTATACGTTGCTAGTTTGTCTCTCCAATTTTACTCTTTACTTTTAACCTGTGAACTAATAAACCTTTTGACTTCCAGCAAAGGACTGCCAGCTTCTTTCTGGCGCTTTCCCAGATGCTAAACCCATTCAGCTACAACCTCCAGTAAAGGTTACCAGACCCCTCTATTACCGTCCTATTGGTGATGAACCCGTTAATGAATATGCAGGTGCACTTCTTCCTGATAACTACTCAAATGCTGAAGCCTACGTTTCTGCAAAAGATTTATACTCTGGTCGTCGTAATGCAGCTGGTGGAGCTATCTTGGCTGCTGTTGACTGTGATGCTGCTACTGCTGCCGCCTCCGCAGTCCCTAAGACGGGGACATGCCCTAATTGCAAGGCAAGGTTCTTGGCAAAGTTTCAAAATTATTAATTTTAATACTAAACTGAAAATCCTTCTTGGTTATCTATTTAAGCTAGTGATCAAATTAATTTTGTGTTAATTTTGCCATAATGCTGAATGACTGTCTTAATGTCTCTTAATCTTTCCCTAGATAGGTAACGTAACGTGTCCCGGAGCTTCAACATGTGCGGGCTGCTGGCCCTGTGCTGGAAGCCTGAGAGATGTCGGGTGTGTGGCCACGTCATCACCAGCGAAGAGTAGCCAGCGCTTAGACTAGCTACCTACCAAAACCCTGCGGAAGATGCCTTGTATACATAGTGTAACGGTTCTATTGTTACGTAAAGTATGGTGACAAATAAACACAGACACTAAGATTACATATATATTTGGTCGAATATACAGAAGTACACAGGTGATACTTTGGTGCGAGTTGAGCGCACTGAGCGTCGGTACAGTATCTCTCAAGTGTCTGCTCTAGACCACACTTGAAAGTAGACTGGCCAATGTTCGCTACACCGCTGCTTATATGCTCGGGCAACACCTCACCGTGTTGCCCAGGCAACGCCTCGCCTCATTCATCTCCAAAGGTTGACAGGAATATTAACAATGCATTTGGAGCGAGTATATTATTGGGATAATCTACTCGCTACAATAGGTATACTTGGGGACCCACGGGGAGAAAAAACAGAAAATTGCGTAATTTTTTAATGGTGCCGAGGAACGCCGTGATTTGCTTGGCTCTTTTAGCCTAGCGGGTGGAGACAATAACAGCATGTTGGGACTTTTTTTTTTTTTTTTTTTTATTAATTTTTTTAATTCTATCGATAGGTTTTAGGTTATGACTAAGACTTTGGTTGATTTTTATTCTTTAGGCTGGACAGATTTCTGAAAGTACTATTAAATTTTTACTCTAACTTGGTTTTTTACTGATTCCAAGGGTTGAAAGGTAACTAGAGTAAACTCCTGAAATTTTTTAGGGCAATTTTTATGAATTTAAATTATTTTATCGAATAAAATCTCGACATCGTTTCGTGTTGAAACTCTGATAAAGAAGAGTGTATAACAGAGCAGACCTTAACAACTGTTTGGGTCTGACTCTACCTGCTGCAGTCGCCTTAGTCTCGCAAATGTGCCTTCATCAGCCAGGGGTGCGGGGGGGGGGGGGGGGGGGGGGTGGAGGAGGATAAAGCTCTTGCCCCAATCTCTTGCTTGATGTAATGGTACAGAAGTGTTAAGCTAATCTTGCTTGTCACCAATCAATTTCTCGTGCATGGAAACTGTCTATTCCCCATTGTGCATCTATCTAGTCGTAGACTGTGGGGGGGGGGAGGGATTGGGGTAAAGTTGAAAATTATGGTCGGACTATCTGATGGCATTAGTTGGGTTAGTGATCCCCTGTAGACTATTGCAGGGAAGTGAACAAAAATTATCTTGTTAGTGTGCAGTATTTTCACCTGTAAGATTCTCTCCTCGCCAAGGAAATCGTCTTGTGGTTCTCCGGCTGTTGGAACCTGACCATGTTTTTGCCATGCCTTAGATTTCTGTACCACTCCTGTATCATTGACAATGACTGTCTCACTGTGGTAACCAGCAACCCTTCACTTATTTAGTCTTAAAACCACCTGTACTACTTAGCCATGTCTTTCTATTTTAGCTTGCTAAAGTGAAATTTGTTATCGTACCATAAATGTTGATCATATGGACTGGAATCTTTAGTCAACATATTCCGTCCTAACCAGTCTCCTGTAAATTCCATCCAGTGTTGGCGAGGCAATGCTTTGGTCCTCCAGACAGGTGGAATAATACCAGCATAGTCTTTGTTCCATCCCATGTTATGCCAGGGGACTAAGTGTGGGAAAAACCTGCAGGGATTGATATGAGAAGAGACTACGAGGGACTTGTACTGAACTAAATTAAAAATTAATGTCTGCAAATTAATTCGACTAAAATCTCTAGGGTTGCAAATCCTAGCTCCTCTTTTCCTAATGACAGATTGTGGGCTGTAAAGGGGCAGGTGGGGTGAATGAATTAGTCGATAGGTTAACTGAAGATCCACAGTCCACCTGCCAACAGGTATCTCACATCAGTTTGTATTTTAAACGAGGATAAGATTTAATAAATTCAGTTATGACTGAACACTGGCTGTTTAAATCAGATTTAAACATGTACATAGTCTAGTGTAGCATTATAACTATTAACAACCAATATTTTATACTATAAACAACAATTTAAATTGTAAAAGTATAATAAATGACTTTAAATGTAGTCTAAGTACTGTTACTAAGTACTACAAATTATATTCAATTAAATGAACTTGTATGATAAAAAAATAACTAAGCAAGCAATTGTTAAGTTACCTTAATTTATATATGCAAGTGTATATGCAATGTATTTTATATTCAATTTATATGATTAGGTACAGTCAGCTTGACAATCTCTTCCAACACCATGGACACTTATGAGGTCTAGTGCTTGGATAAGATTCTACTGCTGCACTACTATATTAATAAACTTGCCGAGATATGAGGCGTTGCCTCGCTTTATAACCGACAGACAGACTTATAGAATATTGAAGTCACACAAGCATAAATTGGCCAATTATATACCAAAATAACCTCTATACTTCTCTGCTTGCCAAGTGCCTGTCTGACAGTGTGGCAGACTTGATAACTCCTGTTGCGAGAGTAGGCATATTTTATATAACATCGTTGCAGTATGATGTACTAGTGGCGTTCCTACATGTTTTTTCTTTAACTGCTTTGCAGAAAAATGATAGTGTAGAATGGAGCACACAGTGACCGTCTCCACCTTCACCACTCGGATATAAATGTTCCAGGGATTTCCCTTGTAGATATATTGTCCAGGTACTCTCCCAGTTCTAGAGTATTCACTGGTGATAAAGATGATTAGATGTCCTGAGCTAAATAATGTTCGCTAAGGATCTGTCACTGTTCACTCAATTGTAAACAAACGCAAAGGGGTCCGTCTAATTACCACAAGCTCCACAAGCTTCAGAAAGCTTCCTGGCAATACGTTAGAATTCTAACCTTTTATCGCTCGCTTTGTGCCTTTCTTAATGGCACCCTTATGGAGATGCAGTTGTCCACCTTTGCTTCAACGGTCAGTGTCCAGACCGTCAGCACCCCCCCCTCCCTATCTTTCCTGTAACCAGAGGAGCTCACAGGAAAGTGGAAGTAGTCTGGGAAGTAATTAATCCAGGACAGAAGAAGTCACTGCAGAGGTTGAACTTGAGTCTGGGTCCATAATTATTTCCAGGTTCTGAAGTTTAAGGAGCAGACATGCTGCAAGAACTGTCCTGCTGGAGTAAACATTAGGGGGTCTCTTCAGACTTTAGGCATTAAAAAAATAAATCTAAGCCCCTGCTTAATCCAGTAACACCTTACTGGCAAGAATTAACAGACGATGGCATGGTTATTTAGTTATCTTTATTACTATGACTCAAATGTAAAGGGAACAATGGATCCGAGAAGTGGCTTTACTTGATGCATCACGTTAGTGTGATCTTTATTGCCCGGCAATTTTAGTGTCCTGGCGAAACATGGTATGGAACAATGAGACTATGCTGGTATTATTCCACGTGTCTGAGGACCAAACCATGGCCTCGCCAACACTGGATGGAATCTACAGGAGACTGGTTAGGACAATGTGTTTACTAAGGAATGTTGCAGTACATAAACATTTATGGTACGATGAAAAATTTGACTTCAGCAAGCTAAAATAGGACATGGTAAAGAAGTTCAGAAGGTTAAGACTCGGTAAGTAAAGAGTTGCACAGGGATGCTGGTTACCATAGTGGGACAACATCCACTGTCAAGGATAAAAGAATGGTACAGAAATCCAAGGTCAGGTTCCAACAGCCGGAGCAGGAGAATCAGAAGAGAAGACAGTCTCCTCACCGAGGCAGTCTTCCAGGTAAAATGCTGCACACTAACCAGAAATTTTTTTCACTGCCCTGCAACAGTCTAGTCGGGTTAGTGATCCCTCTAAAGCCATCAGATAGTCCGACCATAAATTTCAACTTACCCAGTCCCTCCCCGCCTCCCCCATCTACGACTAGAGGGATGCACATTGGGGAATAGTTTCCTTGCAAGAAAAATCGGCTTAACACTTCTGTACCATCACATTGAGCATAAACCTCTTGGCCCCCAGTCTCTTGCTTCCCCCTCCCCTGTTCACACCTGGCTGATGAAAGCACATTAGAGACTAGGGCGACTGCAGCAGGCAGACCCATACGGCTGTTAAGGTCTGCTCTGTTATATAACCTTTATCAGAGTTTCAACACTAAAGAATATCGATTTAAATGCATTCATCGAAGGAAACCTCGACAAAAATTGCCCTAAACATTTCAGGAGTTAACTCAAGGTACATTTCGACCAATGGCATTAGTAAAAAAGACAGGTTAGAGTAAAAATTTAATAGTACTTTCAGAAATCTGTCCAGCCACAAAAATAAAAGTAATCAACTAAAGTCTTAGTCATAACCTATAGATAAGCATTAAAAAGATAAAAATCCCAACATGCTGTTATTGTCTCCACCCGCTAGGCTAAAAGAGCCAAGCAAATCAAGGCGTTCCTCGGAACCATTAAATAATTACGCAATTTTGTTTTTTTTCTCCCCGTGGGTCCCCAAGTATACCCATGTATACCAATGTATACAAGGTATCTTCCGCAGGGTTTTGGTAGGTAGCTAGTCTAAGCGCTGGCTACTCTTCGCTGGTGATGACGTGGCCACACACCCGACATCTCTCAGGCTTCCAGCACAGGGACAGCAGCCCGCACATTTTGAAGCTCCGGGACACGTTACCTATCTAGAAAAAGATTAAGATATTAAGACAGTCATTTAGCATTATGGCAAAATTAAAATGTTTAATTTGAACACTAGCTTAAATAGATAACCAAGAAGGATTTTCAGTATAGGTATTAGAATTAATTATGTTAAACTTGGTGAAGAACCTTGCCTTGCAATTAGGGCATGTCCCCGTCTTAGGGACTGCGGAGGCGGCAGCAGTAGCAGCATCAGAGTCAACAGCAGCCAAGATAGCTCCACCAGCTGCATTACGACGACCAGAGTATAAATCTTTTGCAGAAACGTAGGCTTCAGCATTTGAGTAGTTATCAGGAAGAAGTGCACCTGCATATTCATTAACAGGTTCATCACCAATAGGACGGTAATAGAGGGGTCTGGTAACCTTTACTGGAGGCTGTAGCTGAATGGGTTTAGCATCTGGGAAAGCGCCAGAAAGAAGCTGGCAGTCCTTTGCTGGAATTCAAAAGGTTTATTAGTTCACAGGTTAAAAGTAAAAAGAGAAAAAGTGGAAAGATAAACTAGCAACGTATACTTACAACGGCCATATGCAGCTCTGCGTTCTGCTACAGAAGGGATTTCTTCTACTGTAAAATAATGGTCGGATACTAACATTAAAATCTTTCTATAAATATACAGGCGTAAATATTTTTCCATCCCAACACTAATAACAGGTTTTGATAAATTACACTTTATTGTGAACGTAATAAGGTTAACCTTAATGCTTAAAAATTCCAAAAAGATTGAGACTTTAAAAGTCCAAATGAGCTGGACTTTGAAAGTTATATATATAATACCACGTACATTCTTAAGTAACGAACGTCAGCAAACATGGAACTATAACCAACGAAATACAGACAAAATACACAACTAACGTTCGTGTTCCTCCCACATTGTCCCAAGTATTACTCAGAGATACTCGATGTCTGGATCAGAAGAAGAACACGCTCACGAGAACACAACCAGGTCATCTGTCGGTTCCTGACCGGCTCTTCCCCAAGTAAACGTCTGAAGCTTCGAAGTAGATGTCGAACGATTCTCAAGTGATTCGTAAAAAGTAAATGCACTTGAGCAGTTTGCTTCGTTTTGCTGATGGTTTAAACGACAGGTTAAAGATTCACTGAGAGTGTTTCATACTGAAAACCAAAACCCATATATATATATTTCGTCAAATGTATATACTGTCTGTGTTATTAGGTGAACATCTTAAGTGATATGAACTCTTGGCCAGGTAAGGTAATTATCAGATGAAAGCATCCAATAATTATACAGGTATTATAAGCAAAAATTGTTTTATTGCTTTACGAATCACATGGGAATGGTTCGGTGGCTGCCTCGAGGCTTCACACAAGGTTACTTGGGGCAGGAGTCGGCCAGCAGCTGGCAGAGCACTCTACTTCCTTACTCAGGCTGTACCTTCTTGTTGACGCAGACGTTGTTTTCGGTAATAACCATGAGCGACGTTCAAGGTTTGTGATTTATGTTTTGGCTAATGTGTGGTAGTTAAGAGTTTATGAATTTTATTTGTTCATAACTTTGAATTTTAAGTGATAAGGTTTTTGTGATAAATGAGCTTAATCTTTTTTTGGTTACTTACCAAAAATGTTCTTTTAAGTAACAATTTTAATGTTATACTAGTTTGGCAGAGATATGACATATTATCTTTAACATATCATTAACTTTATAACTAATGCTTGTTGTCTAAGGTTGTAGCAAAAAGGCTTATTTAACTTTTTCTTCACTAGATACCACCAACCCTCCCGTTGCTCCTGACTCTGGCCATGTACCGAGGCGTGAGGCTCCACGGGCGGGGCGCTCCATCCCCCTCTACTCCCTCCCTAGGAGAGGGACATGTCCTAGTTGTAAGGTGAGGTTCTTCACTATGCATATCTAAAATGGTAGGCTGTAATTTTTTTACCGAAACCCCGTTAACTATGCATTTTGGTTTCCGACAATTTTAGTCTTTACTACTTCCTAATGATATTTGATATACTATTGCTAATCTCGCTGCAATAATTTTCTTTAGATTGGGGACTTGTCCCGGGACTACAACCTGTGGCGCAGGTGTTCGGTTCTTCCGCTCTTGCCGGACTGCCTGCTAGACTGCTGCTTCAGCCAGGAGCAACGTTGTCCCATATGTGAATACGTGGCTCCCGTTCAGTAGTGGACCTAGACTAACCCGAGGGTGGCTTCCCAAATGAAGTAATATTTACTTCATGGGGCCCATAGGGACCCGAGGGGCGAAAAAAAATAAAATGAATTTTAATTGACAGTATTTTAGAATGCGGGACTTGATGCTGGAAATTACCAGCCCTTCACAAAATTTTTAAACTTTTTAAGTGACTTATTTTGGTCGAAGTGGATTTCTAATATACTTTATTAAAATTTATCATACATTTTTTATTCTCCCAAACGCTAATGCGAACACCTAAAGCATGAGGCGGAAAGCTTGAATGTTGATCATATATTGAAGTTTATTTGAAACTAAAGTACAAAGTTTCTGGGGCGTATACTCGCGACGCACCCCTAGGAGGCCCCGACAAGATCGGCGATAGCTTCTTGTTGGGTGTCCTGCCTCTAATTGTGGCTCCATGGTGGGTGTGGGGGCACATTCGTGAGTGAATTCTTCTTTCGTCAAGATGATTACCCCTGCTTCGGCTTCTTCTGGTTTACCTTCTCAGGCTCGTGGGGTGGGCGACCAAGCCCCCGAGTCGGTCCGTATTGGAAGACCGGGCTCTGTAGCCTCCGCTGCATTGGGCCCCGACCTTGCTCCTCCTTTGGCCTCTCTGACTCCTTCCTCTGGCTCCCCTCCCTCCTCTGTGGTTGGGTCGAGCCCCAAGCCCCCAGTGGTGACTACCTCGTCCCCTGGCGCGGCTCCTTCTCTAGTTGTAACTACTGCGCCTTTTAACCCCTCTCTCTCTGGGGGTTCTCACCGCCGTCCTCGTCACGGCCGCCCTCGCTCGATTCCTTCCAGTTCTGCTACCTATCAAGCCTTGTTTGGTCCCGCTTCATGGGCCAAATATTTTGATCTCCTCCCTCTTGATTCTGCGCCTCCTGACGATTTCTCCCTCCATCGACATCTCATTGATTCCGTGGATGCCTCCATTACTTTCAACCCCACTCGTCTCGGTACACGTGTCGTTGCTGCTCCTTCTCAGGATGCTGCTTCCCGCTTGGCTGCCTTATCCTGCCTTGGCGAGACCCCCGTTCGGGTCTCGAAGAACGCTCAGTTGAATGCCAGTGTTGGCACTATTTTGCTCCCGCCCCATGTTGCGACCGGTGTTCGGGACCTGCGCGACTGCCACGACGATATTCGACATATCCTCGCTGCCCAGGGCCATTCTATTCTCCAGGTGGACACGTTTACTCGTCCCCCTCGTGGTAGTCGCCGTCAACCCCTCCGGGTTGTGAAGATTACCTTTGATGGTAGGACCCTTCCACCCTCTGTCATTCTTGCTGGTGCCAGGTGCTCTGTCCAGGAGTACATTCCTTCTCCTCGGCTCTGCAACAAGTGCTGGAGGTTTGGGCATGGTGCCCTCCGCTGCTCCGGGACTGTCTCTCTCTGTCCTTTGTGTGGTGGCGAAGGTCACTCTAAGTCGGAGTGCGCTTCTCCCCAGGCTCGTTGCCTCAACTGCGGTGAGGCCCATCCTACCTTCTCCCGTGCGTGTGTCCATTACAAGCTTGAGGCAGCCGTCCTCAACTTGAAGCACCGGGAGCGTTTATCTTTTCCTGAGGCGAGGCGCCAGGTTCGCCGGCTCCCGCCTTATGCTAATATCTCTTATGCTCGCGTGTTGCGCTCTTCCTCTCCTCGTCCTTCCCGCCTTCCTCAGACTCACAACCGTTTCCGGGCCTTGGACCCTGATGCGCCCACTGCCCCCTCCTCTGTCCCTTTGGGTTCTCTCCCGAAGGATCCTCCTCCTGGTCCTCTGTCTGGGGTTCCCCTTCCTTCTACCCGGTCTGTCGTGTCTTCTGTGTCTTCTTCCTCGTCCCCCTCCGATCCTCCTTCCCATCCTCTTCCTCCATCTATCGGCTCTCCCCACCGCCTGTCGGTGCGGGCGGATGTCCATCGCTCTCCTAACGGCCGTCGTGTGTGCTCTCGTTCGGCTTCTCCTGTTGAGACACTGGAATCCGTTGCCCGGTACGTGGTTGCTGGGACACCGGTCTCTTTAAGTCAGAAGCGTAAGCCTGGCTCCTCTCCTTCCTCTTCCCCGGCGGGTAAGAAGGCTTCGCTTTCTTCCTCAGCTCCTCCTTCTGGCTCTGTTGCTCCTTCCCCTCCCGTTTCAGTGCTTGCGCCCCCTGTTCCTGCTATGGAGGTTTCTTTGGCCCCTGCTTCCCTTTCGGTTGCTGCTCTTGCTGGGGTGCGCTCCCCTCTTTCTACTCCCCCTCTTCCTGCTGCTGTCCTTGACTGCTCCTCTCCGTTGTCTCCTCCTCTCCTCCTCCTCCTCCTCCGGACCCTGCCCGCCCACCTCTGATCTGTTCTCCCGTTTCCTTCCCTCCGTCTTTGCTCAGTTTACCCATGCCCCCTAACCCTGACTTTGCTGACCCTGATCCCGACCCTGATATTCTTTAACGTGCTCTGTTGGTCTTTCGCCTTTGTTTCTTCCTTGTTCTCTGTTTTTGTCCTTTCTCTTCTCGTCGTTGTCCATTCTTCAATGGAACGTTCGAGGTTATTACGCCAATTTCCTCGAACTCCAACTTCTGGTTTCGCGGTTTTCGCCCCTTTGTGTCTGTCTCCAGGAGCCAATGCTTGGTGCTCGTCCTGGTCGTTTTCGTGGCTATTCCTTTCTCTCCCCCCCCCCCAGCCATTGCTGGGGCTTCTAATTCTTCTGCTCTCTTGATTCGGGCTGATGTTCCCTTTGTTCCTTTACTTTTTCCTTCGCCTCTCCATTGTTCTGCTGCTCGTATCTTTGTGGGGAAATGGTACACAGTTTGTTCCATTTATCTCCCCCCGAGTGTCCCGCTCTCTCTTCCTGATTTGAAACACCTCCTAGACTCCTTGCCGGAGCCTGTGCTCCTGCTGGGTGACTTCAATTGTCGTCATTCTCTTTGGGGTGACGTTCTGACGAATACCCGGGGTCGCCTCCTTGAGCCGTTTCTCCTCTCTTCTTCCCTGTCTCTTCTGAATTCTGGTGAGCCCACTCATTTGGACTCTCGAACTCGCACCCTTTCTTGTCTTGATCTTTCTCTCTGCTCTTCTTCTCTTTACTTAGATTTCACGTGGCAGGTTCTTGATGACCTCCATGGAAGTGATCATTTCCCCATCCTTGTTTCCTTTTTCTCTTTTCGCCCTTCCCTCTCTTTCCCTAGGTGGCAGTTTGCTAAGGCGGACTGGACCCTATTTTCCCTCAGTGCTACTCTCTCTGACCTCTCCCTTCTGCCCCTCTCTCGCGCTCTCCTCCTTTTTCATGACACTGTCTTCGACGCTGCCCTCCGCTCTATCCCTCGCTCTTCCTCTCGGGGTCCACGGAAGTGCGTTCCCTGGTGGAATGCGGACTGTGCTCGGGCTGTCCGCTGTAAGCGTGCAGCCTGGAAGAAGCACCGCCGTAGGCAGACGACCGATTCTTTTCTTTTCTTTCGGAAAGCGAGTGCGGTGGCCCGTAGGGCCATCCGTACGGCTAAACGTGAATGTTGGGCATCTTACGTCTCAACAATTACGTCCGAAACCCCTCTGGCCCAGATCTGGAAGCGTATCCGCAAGATAGCGGGTAAGTTCGTTCCCGATGTTTCACCGGTCCTTCACCTCCATGATACTCTTGTGGCGGACCCGTTGCAGGTCGCTTCCGAACTGGGTTCCCACTTTTCTTCTGTTAGCTCTGGTCTTCATCTTCCCCAATCTTTCCTTCTTCGTAAACCTGTCCTTGAGTCTCGTCCTTTAGATTTCTGCACTCATCTTCAGCTTCCCTATAATGATCCCTTCTCTCTCTCTGAACTTCGTTCTGCCCTGGCCCTCTGCGGTTCTACGGCGGCGGGCTCCGATGGTATTCATTATGAGATGCTTCGCCATCTCCCTCCGAGCACGTCTCAGTAT